AATTTTATATTTTTTTACTGAACACAAATACACACATATATTCAGAAAGACAGAGAGAGAGAGAGAGAGAGAGAGACATAGAGAGAGAGAGAATGAGAATGAATGAGAGAGAGAATGACTGGGGATTGAACCCCAGGACCTCCATACTTAGCTACATCCCTAGCCCTTTTTCATTTTGAGACTAGATCTCACTAAGTTGCTTAGTTGCCCAGGCTGGGCTCAAACTTAAGATCCTCCTGCCTCTCAGCCTCCCAGAGTCCTGGGATTACAGACCTGTGCCATGAGGTGCAACTAACTTAACTTGTTTTATACCTTCAATCTGTGTAATGGGAGATAATTTAGTCACTTCAGGATGTAAATCAGTCATTTTAAGATTTAAAGCAATTTAAATTCAGGTTTCAAATTTAGTCCTCTTCCTCTTCGGGGGTATAGGGGTTATGTTTGAACTTCATTCCTCTTCTACAGGTATTCACTGTCCATATAACTTATCCTACTTGATTGTTGGGTACCAGCCTCCTGCTTCTGCTTGGCAGAACCAAGATTTGATGATGGCCTCCAGTCTTTACAGTGCTGTAGACTCATTTGGGGACTCTCTTGGGATTGTACAAAGCTGCCCTTGCCCCTGAACACAGCCTCCTTACTCACCTTTACTCCTTTACTGTTCTGGCAGTAAAGGATCTGTATTTCTGTATTTGAGCCTTTCTCTAAGATCAGCAGAATCCTGAGGCTATACTCTGGGGAATAGGGCACAGTTTCCTTTCCTATGAGGGCCTCCAGAAATTTTGCTAGGTTATCATGTCCCCCTTTGTGGATCTTGGCCAGTGTGATGGCACTCCAGGCTCTTTCCCTAAGGTCCATTTAAGAAATTTAGTCTGTAAACCTTTCCGCCTGTCATTCCTGAAAATTCTCCTCCATTGAGCTATCTTTTGGGTAAAAGAAGAAAACAAGCAAGAAAGCTCCTAAGTTTATAAGTTAGAATTTTTTTTTTCCAGGCATGGTGGTGCACACCACTTGGAGGCTGAGGCAGGAGGATCAAAAGTTCTAGCACAGCCCGGGCAACTTGCTGATTTAGGGAGCCCCAGTCTCAAAATTAAAGCATGAAAATAGGGCTGGAGATGTAGCTCTGTGTGAAAGCCCTGGGTTCAGTCTCCCATTTATGTATGTTGGGGAGGAGTAAGAATTTTTTTCCTTTAAAAGTGAGCCTTTTTTTCAAACTGTCTCAGGCCTAGATCAAAAATCACCAGGCCCCTCCCTCCTTTCCTCAGCCCACAGGAAGAAACAAAATATAAAGATGCTAGCACCAGGAGGTCAAAGTCCACTTTCATTTCCACAGGGAAGGGAGGGAATAGAAGAGGGCTGAGAGGATGAAGCAAGCTTGGAGTTGTCCATGGAATCATTGTATTTCCTCTCTTTTCTCTTCCTTGGTTTAAAAGGCCCTTGCACACTTGGACACAGTGAGATGCTGATTTGTGGTAAATTCTCTCTTCTGTCTGCTTGGAGGTAGCTATGAATAAAGCCTTTTTCCCCTTTCTCTAAAATAAATGGCCTTCACATTTGGGGGAGCAGCAAGTATTTGGACTTGAGCAGCCAGTAACTTTCTTCTGGATTCTGTATGTTGTGACTTAAACTTGGAGTTTCTATATTGAAGCCAGATTGGTGAGTATTCAAATTCTTCTCTTAAAGTGTTTTTCTATCCTTTTTATGGGGGCAATAAGCCTAAACTTCTATTTCTCAAAGTGTAAAAAATATTTTACAATGGTGAAAATTTGATTATGAATTAGTTAATAGAAGATACTAAGGATTAATTTATTAATTTTGGTAGACATGATAATGGCCTTTTAGTTATATATGAAAATATCCATCATTTTGAGAAATTAGTGAAGGCATTTTATAGAGAAGGTGGGTTGGAAAGTGACAGGAGCTGTGACTCTGGAGTGGGAGGAAGCTGACAGATGCCACTGGATTTCACTCACCAAACCAAACAAGGGAAGGACATGATAATTTGCACAGAGAGTGAAGGCATAGGAAAAAGTGTGACTGACAGGTGGGTGGCTGAAGTAATTTTGAATTCCTTTTCCTTCTGTTGCTGGCTAGTGTGGGTCCTTGCTTTTAGTATTAATGGAAATGAAAACGAAAGCACAAATTTACAGGAAGAACTTTGCTTAGTAAGAGAAAATGGTAAGGAGCATTAGTTTCAAGAGTTGACAAAGATCAGGCTGGCCCTTAACAAAGGAGAGCAAGGAAAATAGAAAAGGACTCCAGCTTGAGCAGCTGGAGGGGCATACTCTGATAAAGGAGATCGGACTGGCCAACTTGAGAAGGGTTTGGTTGTGGGGGAGTATCCACTGATCATTATCTCTACTCTGGAATCCTCATGACCTGAATGTCTTTAGTTGCACTGTGGTTGTTTTGATTTCCTTGATTCAAAACATTACCTTTCTCAGGTAGCATGGTGTCATGCACCTGTAATCTCAGCACTCATGAGACTAAGTCAGGAGGATCGCCGTGAATTCAAGGCCTAACTGGGCTATATAGTGAGTCAAGGCCAGCCTGGAATGTATACACAGACCATGTCTCGGAAAAACAAACTTAAAAAACCCCAAAAAACAAAAAACCCAACAAAACAAAACAAAAACCCTAAACTATACACCTTTCTTACATGGTCATTTTGACTTTTGGAACAGCCAGAATTTGCAACGTGCCAGATCCTGTTAATAAGGTAGGTAAGGATACATGAAATGTTTTTATGTATCTGCTTTTACATTGGATTGGTATTCAGTAGCAGCAGTCACCATATTTTTGATCACCCCTCATAAATACACTCATGAAAGAACACTTCCAGAATTGCTTTATAAAGTGGCAAGAATGATGGGATAAATGTGTTTGAAGCAAAGGGGAGTATTTTGATTAATGGCACCATGTCTTTACTGTAATAATTTTTTAAAAATTCACTATATATTTAATCACCACTTTTAATTACATATTGGGCATCCCAAGTGAAGAGTGACAGTTTTTTACCAAAAATGGCTTTTAAGTTCCTGACTATCCTGCAAGAAAACACAAATCATGCCTTAATGAGTACCAGGCTAAGGGATTTTACCTGTGCCTGTCCCCTGGTGGTCTCTAGGTCATGACTATGTCACTTCATCACTTATACCCAAATCTTTTTCTTAGTTCTTTCAACTTTATCACCTCTCCATTCCAAGCCATCATTATATCTTACCTCGCAACAAGATTTTCTTCATTGTCAATGCTACTATTCTTGTGCCCTATAATCCTTTCTCCACACAACTGCCAAAAGGATTTTTTTAAAACCTAAAGCAGATCATCATGTTCTTGCTTAAAGAATTCAATGGCTTATCTATCATAGTTAAAATAAAAGAAACTTTGCCTACCATAGATCATAAATTCCTTCATAATCTGCCCCTTACCTTCCCCACCATTTTCTTTTTCTGCTACTCTTCCTCCTCACTCCTCCAGTCACCAAGCCACCTTACAGTTCTTTGTCCATTTACACATTAATTTTTTCAGAAAACATCGTCTAGTGTGATAATTGTTGTCACTTTTTAATCAAACTAGTACAAGTTGCACTTCCTTTTTAAAATAAAACAAATAAAGAATGATTAAAGAGTATTAAAATTCAACTGCTGGTCCAGGAATGTCAAGTATTGACAGAATGGAGAAGTTTGGACTTTAAACTGCAAATTTTACTTCATATGCTGCATTCATTAGCCATGGAACGGTCGTTATTTATAGGCCTGGAAAGAGCTTTATTCTCATATTTTGAATTTCATCTTTCAGTTTAATGAGCATGGCTTCATTAACTTTGCATACAAACATTATCAACCTGGACATTTTCTGACGTATTTCCCAGGAATGTATTTAGAACCCAGCACACTAAAATTGAACTGCATTACCATTTGCCTCATAATACTTTGAAAAGAAATTAGAATAACTAAGTAACTTGAAATGCTATTGTCGTCATCTTCCTCATTAACATCCTTCTGTTTAGTGAAAGGAAGTAATAAATTGCTTTAGATTCTAACACTGGGGGCTGGAGATTTAGCACAGTTTAACAGAGCATCTACTTAACATGCTGGAAGCCCTGGTTTCCATCTTCAACTTGTCCCCTCCCCACACAAATCTTCTCTGTCATTCGACTGCTAGTTATGGTAACAGCTTACCACAGTTTAAGATAGTGAAGAAATGCTTCTTGAAAAACTGTTCTATTTAACACCTCTCACATGCTGCTGATGGATGGCCACATGCCTATGTGGGAGCAGGTCCCTCCAGCCATTTCCAGCAATGGCCAACAAAGTTATTTTGTGGCTTTCTTATATTAAGAAATGAAAATCTTCCTTAAAAACAACAGAGGTGGGTGGAGAAATCTCTACATTCCCATTCAGATTTTCTGAAATCTCTGTGTCTGTTTCTACTTCGACCAGGCTTAAAAATGACAAATGTTGGGCCAGGGATTTAGCTCAGTGGTTCCACCACATGCCCCGAAAGAAAGTGCAAGGATACGGGTTCAATTCCCGGTACAAAAAAAAGACAAACGTTAAGGGCTTAAGGGCCCGGGGCTGACCACAGAAAAATGAAGGAAAGCTACCTCGCGGACATCTTCTGGTCTTAAAAATGCAGCGCTCACGCGGTGGAAGACCCTTTTAAGTATCAGGTCAGATGAGAAAATTTTAGGCTAAGAAGGTATGACCTGAAGAACAGCGCTAATCGGAGGGCTTTGGGGAAATACTGGAAAGGTCAGTGATCTTTCTCAGTTTGGAGAAGGGACTGAGTCAGAAAACGTCGGGACCACGCACCGCGATTGCCCTCCTGGGGCCGCGTGCAGCTTTCCCGCGTGCCTGCTCTGGGGGCAGGGTAGAACCCGGATGGTACCGCCCGGGCGGGTGCGACCCCCCACGGTCTTTGAAGTGCACCGCAGGGCGGAGTTGCCCTCTCTTCTGCATCCTGATTGGTTAATCTCCAAGGGTTTCTCTTCACAATTGGAGTTTCCCTGTGCCATTCACAGGACGTCGCTGGTTTCTCAAATTGTTGCTACAGGGAGCCGGCCTCGACTTCTGACTGGACTCGCTGCGTCTTACTCTGTAGTCGTGCACTCTTGATGCGGCTTTAGGAACCTGCTGCTGGCTTCTGGGCTGCAGGGCCTGGAAGGAGGCTAATCGAGGCGGCTCGAGAACTGTCAGGGGCGTCCAGGCGTTCTTGTCGTCATCCCACACAGCGCCATGTCCTGGATGTTCAAGAGGTGAAGGGAGCGGAGGGGGTGGGGCGATGGGGCTAACGGCCAGGCGGCGTCCCAAATGAACCTGACCTTCCCTGCGATTCCTCCGCGTTTCCGATACTTTCTGTGCAGCTTGTATTCCTTCTGTTGGTCGCTCATGAAGCCATGGGAAAAATAAACGCATTGTTTTAGCTGGCGAGGAGCGGCTACTCTGGCGAGTCTCGTGCCAGGGCCTTGGGAAATCTGTCATGCACTGAGGGGCGGAGGTCTCGTGCTCAGAGCTTCTCCGCCGGTGCTTTATTCAGTAGCACATCCATTAGATACTGTGCGCTGGGCGTCGGGATCGGTAGAGGCCTGAATAAGACAACCCTTGTCCCCAAGTACATCACAGTTTCTATTCATGCACAGACTTGCAAACGTGTATTTGCAGAGGAGCTGAGAGAGAAATACCCGAGGTGCAAGGACAATGTACAGCAAATAGCGATTACCCATTCTTAGGAGTATGGAAGCTTCCCGGAGGTCCCCAACAGACATCATACTTTTCATCACCCAAAGTGGTTTTCGTGCCCACTCCTGAAGTAATCATCTAAAAGAGGGTTGGGAATACCCTTAATCCAACGAGGTGGGGAAGTGGTAAGAGGGGATTGAGGTCAACCTCTATGAGGGCATAGTTGGATACCAGAATAAACTGTGTTCTGTTCAGAGATAATTAAATGAATGCTGGATATATTATCTGAAAAGATACAAACTGCTTTATGCATAATAATAGTTCTGTGTTTTGCAAGTCTCTTCTAGATTAATCAACAGTGAAACTTTTGTATATAATTGTGGCTACAGACGTTACATACATTTACATTTAAATAGATAATTTTCACTACAAAAGCCATTTGTGAGCCCGTACTGTTTTTATTTTTTTCCACTTTGAATAGGGGCAATAGTGTGGTAGAAGTTCTAATATTGAATAGAGTTTCTAGAAGTCTTCTCCACTCTTTAAATTCCTGCTTTAACCAGAGTAATTATTAATCTGTTTGCAGTGATTCCCACGTAAGATTTTGTTTGCTAAAATAAAGTGAGAGAAAACTATTGGCTTGTAAATATGATTAGCTCATGATCTGTGAGAAATAGTTGGTTAAATACTGTAGTTTTTCCTGTGCTTTTTTTTTTTTTAATAGGGATCCCGTTTGGAAGTACTTACAGACTGTCCAATATGGAATCCATGGAAATTTCCCACGCCTTCCATATCCAACTTTCTTTCCACGTTTTGAATTCCAAGATATTATTCCTCCAGATGACTTCCTAACTAGTGATGAAGAGCTAGATTCAGTTTTGTTTGGAATTTTGCGAGGTCATGTGGTTGGACTACGCTATTACACAGGAGTAGTGAGTATAAAAATAGATAATACATCAAATTGCGATATATTTATGGTATTAATCTAGAAAACAAGAGTATTAGAATGTGATATGTGCAGTTAATGTTTTACTGTAATTGAAATAACACACAAACAAGAGATAACATACCTACTTTTGTTCTTTTGCATTTGTATCAAACTTATAATATACAAAGCATTTTGGACTTAATCCTTACAATAACTGACGTGGGACATCTCTTACCCCCTTTTTATGACTGGAAAAGTAAAGCTCCAGAAAGTTATAAAATTTGCCACAAAATACTCTAGAAAATGACTTCTAATGCTTTCTTTTCTGCTCCTGAACACATTTCTGAACTTTAATATTTTTCATTTAGAAAGTTCAGCTTTTACTAAATAAGGGAGTTGTCTTTTTTTAGGTCCTTTTTTTCTCCTGTTGTTAGAATATGTTGTACCTTTTCTTCCTGTGTCCGCTCTGTATCTCTGATCTCTGAATTGTGTGTATATATGTGAGACAAAGGGACAGACTGAGAATGCAGTATATATAATGTATATATAACTTTCTATGGTCAGTACTTGCCTTTGTTATGGTTGCCTAGAATGCCTCTGTTATTTGGATAATATACCTCTCATTTTATCTAATTTATTATGAAAAATTTCAAACATGCATAAATAAAATAAACTTCCATTATACCTATGATTCGTATTCAACAGTTAACAAGTTTTTTTGTATATTTACTTCATTCTTATTTTTCTTTGTCCTTTTGTAAAAGCAAATTCCGAATGTCTCCTTTTACATGAATTATGTATTTCTAGAAAAAATTCTTTCTCATAATTAACAAATTAATAATTTCTTGCCACATCCAATAAATAATCCATAATGAGATTCTCACATTTTAAAATGTCTTTATGGTTGATTTTTTTAAAAATCTGAATCCAAATAAGATTCCTACATCATCATTGGTCATTAGAGATTAAAAAGTCGCTTCACTCTTTGTTTCATGTTAGATTTGTTAGTTCTTCCATTCTTTTCTTTCTTGGTAATACTGAGGATGGAATTTTGAGGTGCCCTATGCCTCCAGCCATTTTGACTTATTTTGAGACAGGACCTTGCCAGGTTACCTAGGCTGGCCTTGAACTTGTGATCTTCCTGCCTCAGCTTCCCCAGCAGCTAGGAATTACAGGCATATGCCACTTGGCCTTGCTATTTTTGAAGCTTATCAAGTCAGTTTTTTGATGGTGTTAAGAATGTTCTGTAGATTTCTTGTGAAGAGTTCCATGTTTTAAATTTATTTAATCTTTCATTATCCCATATTTATTTTACATTGGAGCATCTCAAATTGGAGCATCTCAAATTATCTGAAATGTGTTAGCTAGGAGATTACTAAGGAAATAAAAATATTTCTTTAGTTTTTTGTGTGTTCATAATTTTGGTGTTTTATAATTGAAGAGCAATTTGGCTGAATATAGTGGACCCTTACGACAAACTTGTTTGGTTCCCGAGGGCTGGTTGTAACTAAAGTTTCTTGTAAGTCAATACTGCTGAGATCTGGATGTTTACCTGGGTACACGCTATAGATAACAAGAGACAGATGACTCTTCCATTAACCCAATTAACCCAAGTTGTTTGTATGTCAGGCTGGTCTTAACTTAAAGGTTCACTGTATAACATCTTTGACCTGTATTTTCTGTACATATCCTAATGTTACGTAAAATGTTGGTGAGAATTCTGATGCCAATAAGATTTTCTCTTCCACTTAAATGAATTAAAAATTATTTTTCCTGAGTAACTAAAATATTTTTCCTTATTTTGAAGGTCCAGGAATTTCATTAGGGTGTATCTTAGTTTTATAAATTTGTTTCTATTTCAGACAATTTTCTATAATTATAGTTTTTTTTCAGGAACTTCATATTCTTTTTCTTCTTTAGGGACGCTGTAGTCCTACTCTGTCTCTCCTTCGTTTCTTAGACCTGGTATACTTACGTCTTAATATTGCCTACTGCCTCTGAAATCCTTTTTGTCATGTTTTTTGCTTTTCTGTTTTTCATAATTTTCTTACCATATTTTTCACAGGGTTTGTTCACCTAGTGTTCTTTTTACTTTAGTCTTTGTGAAATGAATTTTTTTCTAGTTCTTTTAGAAAATAAACATTTCTTTTTTCCATATTCTCTAGCTCTCATGTCCATTTCTTTGTTCGTGTGTGTGTGCGTGCGTGCATGCGTGCGTGCTTTGAGACAGGGTCTTGTCATGTAGTTCATGCTGGCCTTGAACTCACTATGTAGCCCAGGCTGGCCTCAAACTTGCAGTGTTCCACCTGCCTCAGCCTCCCGAGGACTAGGCTTGCAGGCATGTGCCACCATTCCTGGCTCATGTCCATTTTTGAGCTTTCTTACTCAGATTTGTGTTTTTCCCCCAAAACTTAAATTGTTTCCTAAGTCATATATACTTTTGTGAAGTATTGGATTGTGGTTGTTATTTTTGTTTTGTTTTGTTGTTTTTTTGGTACCGGGGATTGAACTCGGGTCTTTGTGCTTGTGGGGCAGGTGGCGGAACCACTGAGCTAAATCCCTGGCCCAGATTGGTTGTTATTAATCTTAGAACAATCACTATGTGTTGAACTTAAAATAATCTCTACGACACTAGTAAAGTAATAACAATCTATGCTGTTTAAAAATAGTCATTACTTAGTTTTTTACTTTTAAAAATGTGTTTATAAGTATTACATGTTCATTATTTTATAACTAATTTATAAGTAATACATGTTCATTATTTTGAAATATCTAAAAAGCATTAAATCTTTCTAAAGACTACCATCCACAACTGTTTACATCTTCTATACGTTTTTCTGTAATCATATGCATGTACATTGGATTGTGTTAATAAAAATGAGATCATATTATGCCTTTTGTGATCACTTTTTTCTCTTAGAGAAATCGTATAATTTTTCATGTAAGCACAACTCTATTTAAATTCCTTACAGATGGACATTTTTGGAGTTGATCACTCTTGAAAAAATACTGTAATAGAAATTAAGGTTTTTTTCAATTTTATTGAAATTGATTTATAGGTGATAAAATACACTTTTTCCCCCTTGGAAGTGGGGATTGAACCTATGGCCTTTGCACTGAGCTACATCCCCAGCCCTTTTTAAAATTTTTTATTGTGTGATAAGGTCTTGGTAATTGCTCATTCTGGGCTTGAACTTAATTTGTTCTACTGTTTTGGAAAAGATGGCCATGATTGTGTTTGTGTGGGAAAGATGGCTGTGGTTGTATTTGTTACCTGATGCAGAGTTTGCAAACAAAAGCAAAATTTGCCAAACACTTCTGTTTGTGAACCAAACTGTTTGCAAATTAATGCTTTCAGGAACTGAGGTACCACTACACTGTTTCATACTCTCTTAAATCAGGTAGGGGAAAATTGCAAACAAAAATACATTTATACTGTCTTATATTTACCCAAGTAATTACCTTAACTGTGCTGTTAATTTCATATGAATTCAAGTTTAAGTCGAGTATTTTATGATTTTACCCTGAAGAACTTCCTTCCTTGTAGATCTTGTAGGTCTTGCAGGTTAAGTGTACTAGTGATTGAGTCTGAGTTTTTTCCTCTGGAAATGTCTTAATAGTTCCTTCATTTTTAAAGATGTCTTAGTTACTTTCTTGCTTCTGAGACAGAATACCTGATTCCCTCAAGTTAAAGGAGTCTTAGAGGTTTCAGTTTTAGAGGTTTTAGTCAATGGTCAGCTGGTTCCTAGGCAGGGCAGCATGGCAAAGGAGAAACAATTTATGATGTGGCAGTCAAGAGTCAGTGAGGCTTCCTTCCCTCCCCTTTTGTTTCATCCAGGCTGCGAGCCTGTTGGGTCTTTCTTCTTCAGTAAATCCATCACCCTACCTAGAACTATGCTATACCAGTCAGTGGACTAATCCAGTATAACACACCCATGATCCAGTCACTCCCAAAAGCCCCACCTGTAAATGAATGAGACTTTGAGGGGATAGCTAGATAAGAGCCATAACATTCTGCCCCTGGCCCCCAGGAGATTAATACATTCCTTTTTGCAGAGTGCATTTATTCCATCTCTAAAAGTTGCCAAAGTCCTAACAGTTTCAACATTGCCAAAAAGTCCAAGTCCAAATTCTCCTCTGTGATTTAAAGCAAACTCTTAGCTGGGAGCCCCTGTAAAAATGAAAATAAGCACTTCCAACATACAATGTCAGAAGATAAACATGCTCAATTCAAAAGGTAAGAATAGGGGGATAGAAAGGAATAGGACCAAAGCAAGATCAAAATCCAGCAGAGAAAATATTAAATCTTATAGTTCCATGTCCAGTACCAGTGCAATGAAGTTAAAACACTTGCCTTTAAAATTGTTTTTGATGAACACTTGCTCAAGGGAGCTCTCTCATCTACCTCTGAAGTAAGCTAAAAAGTCGAATGCAACCAGCCTTGCAAGTGGGTTCTTCTACAAAACCATCAGATAGTTCAAATAATGACAGTTTTGAGGGAATGAATCTTTGAAAGACCTGTAACTTCATTCTGTTCCCTTTGATAACTGTCATGCTGCTTCAAGAATCCCACTGGGCTGATACAGTATTGTTAAAAGTTACTGGAGAGCTAGAGAGCTTGGGTTGGGGCTAGGGCACTGGTATTCAGCCATTTTTCTTGAGTAAGCACTCAGATTTCTGCCAGCTTTTGATCTCTAGAGTTCTGAAAAAGTTGATTCTCAAAGTTTTTCTGTTATTTTATGGAGGAGAGATTTTTCGGAAGTCCTTATTCTGTTATTTTCTATGTTACCCTTGCATGGTTTGTAATCAAGTGAAATAAAGAGAGTGGCATGAGTTGAAGGCTAGATGTGTTTTTCTCATGCCAGGTTCTTGCTGCTTTTTTTCTCCCTGTTAAGATTCTAGAAAATTCAGACCCAGGAACCAGCCTGCCTGGTTCAAATCTTAGCTCTGTTATTTATTAGCTTTGTTACCTTGAGCAAGTTGCTTAACTTTACTGTGTTTTAGTTTCTTTGTATGTAAAGTGGGAATAATGATAGTACTGATAGGGTTATGAGGATTTATAAACTCAGTGTATGCAGTGCATAGACTGCATACTTTTTCGGAAATTACAGTATTGAAAATTTTAGGTAGTGTAAATATGAAGGATTTCTTAACCTCCCAATGAATATAAATTAGAAAACAGTGTAGAAGAATTATTTGAAAACTTGTTCTTTAATTGCTAGCTTGAGTCCAAGCAAATACATTTTTTCTGATGTGCAGTGTTTAGCAGCATCATTAAAAAATGAATAGAAATCCCAATAAAGTGTAATAAGGTCAAAAACTGTCACTATCTGGTCATATTTATAATATAATGCTCATTTTTTTCAGGTTAATAATAATGAAATGGTTGCATTACAGCGAGAGCCTAATAATACTTATGATAAGAATGCGATTAAAGTAAATAATGTGAATGGAAATCAGGTTGGCTATTTAAAGAAAGATCTTGCAGCTGCTTTGGCCTATATTATGGACAACAAATTGGCACAAGTGGAAGGGTAATGTACTTTGAGAGTTTAATTTTAATAACTGAGTTGTAGTTATCTTTCAAATTGTAAGGGCCTTTTCTTAGAGCTTCTAAGGGTATAACACTTTTCATCACTGTATCTTTAGTTATATGTTCACATCAGTTCTCTTATCTGCCTCTTCTACCCATCCATCAAACAGCTGTCCTCTTTATTTGCCTATTGAATTATTACCATGGTGAAAATAGACTTTGGTTCACATATTACAAAGTGTGTACCATCTTCCCAACCTTTCAATTCATAAATTTGAGGGTTGTTTTAGATCAGAGGTTATAAACTGGTAGTATATGATTAGATGGAGATGTTTAATTTTACTTACAGTGTTTTAGACATTTATTTCCAACATCTAAATTAGATATTTTACATATTAATTTTTCCTAAATGTAAACATATTAAAAGTTCTCTTGATTAATGGAAGATCTGGCAGTGCTGGACATTCATTTTCATGTGACATCCATTGACTAGAACTGAGAAAAAGTTCCTTTAGCTATGGCATGTGCTCTCTCATTTTTCTACCTCTTTGTTTTTTATTTTTTAAAGCTCTCATTCTCATCTTGATTACCTTTTCTCATAGGCATTTGTGTTTCTGATCTCAATTTAAGTATTTAGGATATTTATACCCCAAACCTAGTGCTTAGGATATTCTTAATCCTAATCCCAGGTGAGTTTGGAAGATAAATGCTCGGCACTGCCTTTTTTTTGGTACTGGGGATTGAACTCGGACCCTGCGGTTGCGAGCCAGGCAGTGGTACCACAAAGCTAAATCCCCGGCCCAGCACTGTCTTTTAAAAAAATTTATCATGTTTTTCAAATGTTGAGAATAAATTTTTAGTGTATCTTGGATTAGAAATATTTCTTGTAATTCATTTCTCACCCTCCTAGCAGTTAATGAGTTGCTACTTTTCAGTGGTTCTGTTAGCCAGAGCTATATTCAAATAAATTTACTGTTTTGTTTATTTTACAGTTTTGCATGTAAGCTATCCTTGTGGATTTTTTGGGGTTTTTTTTGAGATAGGGTCTTGCTTTGTAGTTCAGTCAGGCTGGGCTTGAACTCACTATGTAGTCCAGGCTGGCCTCAAACTTCCTGCCTCAGCCTCCCGAGTGCTGGTATTACACAGACATCCCGATCCTATCCTTGTATTTTAAAATAGCTTTATCCCATTCTTTCATTTTCTTTTGGCATTCTGATCCCCAAAACCACCTTGTCCTTCTATTGTGGCTGATTTTATTTCATGGTTTTTTTTGGTTTTTCAGGTCTGCCCAGCTAATCTCTTATTTTCTTTCCATGCAAAATTTGAAAGACCAACTTGGGACATAGTTAACAGATTCTTAAATAGAATAAAAAATAACTTCTTTTCTTTTTTTTTGGTACTGGGGATTGAACTCGGGTTCTTGCGCTTGCGCAGCAGGAGATAAAAAATAACTTCTAATTTCCCATTTTCTTTTCTCTTAAATATAATAGGGTAGTTCCTTTTGGTGCAAATAATACTTTTACCATGCCTCTGCATATGACTTTTTGGGGAAAAGAAGAAAATAAAAAAGCAGTTTTAGATCAGTTGAAGAAACATGGATTTAAATTGGGTCCTGCACCAAAAAGTAAGTTTAGGTTTTAATTTAATATTATTTTGATATTGTAAGATGCAGGGATTGCAAAACATTTATCTTTGAATTTGGGTGGCCAAACTGCTTTGTGCTGAAGGCTCCAAATTAAGATTTTTTTGGAGTCTTTTTGAAGAAATCTCTGAAGTTTTCTTTTGACGTAGTTATGAGTCACTTAACAACAGGGACAACTTTTAAGAAATTTGCCATTTGGTGATTTTTGTCATTGTGCAAACATCAAATGGTATACTTATACAAACTAAAATGGCTTTGAGGTCACTTGAACATATAGTCTCATGGGGGCACTGTTGGATATTTGGTTAATATATTACAGGTAATTGAAACATCAATATGGAGTGCATGACTAACTATACAGTCACACACCCATAAAAATACACAAGAAGTTCCCATATACCCTCCCTTTATTTCCCTCAATGCTTTTTTTTTTGGTACCGGGAATTGAACTCAGGACCTTGCACTTGGGAGGCAGATGCCGGAACCACTGAGCTAAATCCCTGGCCCTCCCTCAATGCTTTTGCACTGAACTATATCCCTTAGCCCCCGTTTTTTGAGATAGTCTTGTGAAATTTCCCAGGTGAACTCAAAATTAGGATCTTCCTGCCTTACCTTCCCAAGTACTGGGATTACAGACGTGCATCACATCTGACTCTAAACATTCTTTTTGATAAATTCTAGACAAAAAGAATCTCTCCAGAGAAAATGAAAAAGGATTATTTCTTTGGCGGGATTATTCAAATTCTGTGGTAATATTTTAATAGTGTTTCTTGAGGGATTAGTATTTATCTTTAAAATTTGTTTTAGGGCCAGAAATGTACCTCAGTGATAGAATGCTTCCCTTAATTTTTTGTTTTTGTTTCACATTGCTAGGCAAATGTTCTATCTACATCTCTAGCCTTAAGGGAAATTTTTTTCTTCTTTGGGTGGTACTGGGGATTGAACATAAAGCCTTCAAACTGAGCTACATTCTCAGCCCTTTTTAATTTTTTGTATTGATATGCCCAGGCTGGGCTTGAACTTGAGATCCGTCTGCCTCAGCTTCCCAGTGTGCTAGAGTTATAGGCATGTGCCACCATGCCTGGTTGCCAATGGGAATTTTTCATGCAGTTTGTCTTATAAATTTATAAAGCTATTTATTTCTGTTTTTGTTTGGTGATTTTATTCTTTTTGTCTGTAAATTACAGCTTTAGGATTCAGTTTTGAAAGTGGTTGGGGCTCTGGAAGAGCTGGACCAAGTTATAGTATGCCAATTCATGCTGCAGTACAGATGACAACTGAGCAGGTGTGCTTTTTTATTTTGTACTCTAATCTAAAAGTAAGTTTAAAATGTTGATAGTTGGTATTTAAAGGAGTAGAATAAATATATACTAGTATCAATGATCATCAGATATATTGTTAAACTTATAATGAAACCTGTTGTATAATAAATAGCATATATAAAAATATATATATTTATTTTCAAACATTATCTGAAAAGCAATGGTAAGGAATATAGTTATACTTCAGTATCACCAGAAATTGATTATTCAGGATCTCCAAGTATCTTATATAAAATGACATGGTATTTGTATATGTTTGTGCATCTTTCTGTATATCTTAAATCATTTCTAGATTACTTATAAGACCTAATATAATGTAAATGTTATATAATAGTTGCTATACTATGTTGTTTAGAGAATAATATCAGTTTAAGAAGAATGCATATATTCAGTACACACATGATCATAGGCTCACTACATTTTTAATCTGTGGCTGGTTAGATTTGTGATAAGGAAGACTTGCTGTATACCTATACAAACGCATTCATATATTACAGCAAAGGACATGCTCACAGCTGGATATGTGTGGGATTGTTTTGTTTTTGTTTTTTTGAGACAGAGTCTCACTTTGTAGTGTAGGCTGGCCTTGAACTTGCCATGATCTTCTTCCCTCAGCCTCCTAAGTGCTGAGATTATAGGAGTGTGCCACCACACCTGGCTGTGTGTGGGATATTTTTGTATTTAAAATTTAAAAAATGTTCAAATATAATTTTGAAAACTTACTTCTCCTTTTATAAGGTTGCAAATGCAATGCTAAAAAATTAACTCCAAATCTTTGGCATTACACTAGTTCTCACTTTGTCTAATTTGTAATCTAGGATCCTGTTACACAGAGTTAGTTTGAAAGAACATATATATGATAATGCCTATCAGTTTAAAAAAACATAAAAACTTTTTTGATGTTTCTGTCCACCAGTGTTATATTTTTGTCTTCTAATTGTGGTTACCATGTTTTCCCTGGTTGTTAAGATAGGCTTGAGCTTGTATCTGGGGGCCAAACCCCAGGCAACCTCTGCTAACTTCTTTTAAACCTGCCCTTATATTTTTCTAGGCTGTCTTATTTTGCAAAAGTAATTATAACACATAGTATGTGGTGCTATAAAATTGGACTAGATTAAGTTAGATGGCCAGCTAAATTAGCATAATAATGAAATCCTAATATTTCGTAGCACATAGCAGGTTCCTTATCACAATAAAAAAATGTCATTGACTTGAAAAAGAGTCATGTATAGCTTTTAGGACTGCCAAAATATTTTGAATACAACTGAAAAAAATGGAATTGTAATAGCAGGAAGAATCTTGATAACTAAGTTTAGTCAATTCCTTTCATTTTACAGGAATAAGATACTGTACAAGTCTGAAAAGGTTAAGTACCTTGCTGAAACATACATAGGCTTTTTTGTGACAGAACTTGGACTGAAACCACAACTTATAACTCTCTTTCTCCCTCTCTTTTTTTTTTTTTCAATTCAGGGGTAGGGATCCAATGCAGGACCTTGTACAGTACATGCTAGTCAAGCATATATCCCTTGTAACTCTCTTTTCTGTTTTTTTCCAGATATAATACAGTTACCTTTGGTAACAAAACCACCTGTTCATTCTATCTTCAATGAGCAGTGTAAATCTCAGAGTCAATTTATATACTTTTTGGCTTTTGTTTCTTTTAGCTGGATGATTTGAAATCTCTGAATTAATTGCAATTATTTCTTTAGTTGATTTTCTTAATTTTTGTTGTTGCTGTCTATTGTAGCTTAAAACAGAATTTGACAGATTGTTTGAAGATTTAAAAGAAGATGATAAAACTCAGGAAATGGAACCAGCTGAGGTATTGTACCATTTCTTTCTATTTAAAACTATGAGGAATTTTTAAATATACCTGTAATCTGTACATTTATCCTAAGATCAGTGTTTTTTTCTGGTTCTGCTTGTGAAAACAGAAAGGACTTACTGTATTTATCTTTATGACATTTTATTTTTAGGCTATTGAAACGCCATTGCTTTCACATCAAAAACAAGCTTTAGCTTGGATGATTTCACGAGAAAACAGTAAAGAACTTCCACTGTTTTGGGAACAGCGAAATGACTTATACTATAACACAATAACAAATTTTTCTGAGAAGGAGCGACCAGAAAATGTCCATGGAGGAATTTTAGCTGATGATATGGGCTTGGTAATTTTTTTTCTTGTTAATATAATCTTATTTTGTGATTATGATTTTTGTACAAAGTAATTTTGAAGTTGAAAGATAGATGGCAGTTTAGGACTAGATTTTACTTTCAATATAGAACAGTATTTTTGTGGGTTTTTTTACTTAAAATAATGCTAAATTTTCTGATGGCTCATTAAGGAATAATTAAAATAATTATGTAACAGTAATAAAATAAACATATTTGTCAATTTTCTTTGCTCTTTGAAATTCAGGATAATCTGTCTTTCATAGGTTTAGTTTTAAAGAGAGATGGGTAAAGGGGCCGGGGATTTAGCTCGGTGGTTCTGCCTCCTGCCTTGCAGGCACAAGGACCCAAGTTTGATCCCCAGTGCCAAAAAAAAAAGAGTATGCAAGAATCTGATGATGGTAGTGAATCATACACTAACTGCTTTGTTTCATGCTAAGGCAGTAGCACTGTTTGCACACAATGCTTTGTATAGCATTGGTACAGATGTCAACCAAATAAGATCTTATTTAATAGTATAAAAATAGTTTTAACCTTACATTTTACTGTAGGGGTCTTTGGGACCAACCAGCAGTATGTGGACCACATTTTGAAAACTGTTATTTTACACTGTCTTAAAATTGTCAGAGGTTTATTTTGTATTACTAGCTGTACATTACCCTGCAAAAAATACTGAAAAATGAACGTTTCTGTTCAAGAAAAATGCCCAGGAAATATACCCATATACTTCTGATCATTTGTGACTTTTAAGGGTTTTTTTTGGTATTACTATTAAAACAATTTGGTCATCATATGTACGCATACTGGAAATACTAATCATTTTAAATTAGCTCTGAATAGATGACAAGTAGTTGTAAGTAGTTTCATGACAAAATTAGTAGTTCAAATTTTAATGTAGAATCTTAGACCTACATTCAATGGAATGACATTTCTCAAAGATGCTTACAGTATTTTATATTGTAAATCATTTAATAATTCTGAATGTGATAAAATACATTTCAGTATTTGATTATTTTAAAACTGATTTAAAATGTTTTCTGATCAACTGGGTTTCAGAATCTTGATTAATCTGATCATTTATCTTTTTAAAACATTTTAAAGGGTAAAACTCTTACAGCTATTGCAGTAATTCTTACCAACTTCCATGATGGCAAACCCCTTCCTGTTGAAAGAATTAAGAAGAATCAACTGAAGAAGGTAAAGTATTTGTACCTTTTCTTAAAGGCACTGGCTTATTGTAAAACTTTTTAAGCCTTATTTAAATATAATTGCCAAGAAATTGATAATATTCAGCATTTTAAAAAATGATGTTGCCTATGGCCCTACTACCCTGAACATACCCGAACTCATCTGAGAAATGTTATTAAGGGACTCTTTTGTGTTTATAAGGATAAAAGTGTCAAGTTTGGGGGGGGGTAATTGATAGTATGTATTAAGACCCTTAAAAGTGACCTAATCAGTAATTTCTAAGAAACTATCTAAAAAAGTTGTCAAAATCCATTTTTTGCAGATAGCAGTGTGAATGTTTCCCCCATGTTATTTTAAAGGTAGATAATTTGAAATATTTTCAAATAAATTAGCAGTTAAATTATGACAGCCATAGAATTTAATAGTATACAACCACAAAAATCTTAGTTTTGAAGACTATTCATTTTCATGATTTATGGGTAACTTGATATTTGGTATATATGTATACATATAATGTATATACCAATAGTTATATTCAGTTTCTAGGAATTAAAAATCAGTTTAATGAGAAAAATAAATGTTGAAAGAAAGCATTGTTCTTTGTTCTTATCTGAAAATACTAAGAACTTAAAGTAGGAAATAGCAAAAAAATTATGTATAAATGTCTTTTCTGAGCTCTTTTGAACTGCTAATTTCATTTTTTAAATTTTACTGCACACCAGTATACTGGTACCTGCTTTTTGAAATTTTATTAATCTTTTCATTTAGTTGCATTTACTTCTGTTTTTATTGGAAGTTGAACCTTTTAGAATACCAGATTTAGTTCTTTACTGAAATAACATATTGGAATAGATTATCTTGTTCTTCCTATTTTTTGGTTATTAAACTGAAGTTCTAGGATTACCAGAATTGGTAGAAGCATGTAAGACTATTTATACGTTCAGTCTGAACTGTCAACACTGAAAAATTAACAGTTATAAGTAAGAATTTCCTTTATTATTTTGATGATCAGCAATACATTTAAGTATTAAAAATTTGTAACCTGTTGTATGATAGGAAGGTTTGAAGACATTTAATTTGGTACATTAAATGGAAAGATTTCAATCACAAAAATGTGATTTCTAACCAAAAATGTATTATAACAAAAATTTCACTATTTCAAATAGATTTAAATATTATAAGCTGAAAGTATCATAGATTGAAGTTTCTTCAGATTGGAACATAGTATGATTTGATATAGTTGGACTTTATAGGAAGTTTATCTTGGAACTCTGATCAAAAGCTTGCTGAGCAAAATCATTTAATGTATTGAATGATGTAAAGGATATCCTTTATATGTGGATAAACATTCAGATTATATTTTAAATACTGTTTAGCGTAAATGGTTATACTAGTAGTTGAGAACTCAGTGGAAAATTTAATGAAGAGTATTTTTGACACCTATCTTTTGGAGCTAATGATTTAAAAGTTGACTACGTCTTCCAAGAACATAGCTCTAAAAATGTTTATAGTTTGGATTTTTAAATTTGACTGGACTGATACCATTTTAAAGGACTCAACTTTTTTTTTTTTTTTTTTTTTTTTGCATTTAAGGGCTAGTTCATGATAGGCAAGTGCTCTCCTAAGCTAAACTCTTAGTTCTGAGTTTAATGATATTTTATAAAGTGTTTAAAATTCTATTTTTATAGCATCTTTTGGACTTATATATACATTGATACTTTTTGAAACATGTGGAGGTGGGTATACAAGAAGATAAAAAGAAAGGGAAAAGCCAGGGCTGGCAGGAAAATTTCGATGGGAAAAGAGGACACTCTACCCTGGTATTGGCAAGCTTGTGAAATATTTACTTACTGAATAGGGAATCTTGGCATGAAAAGTTGATGCAGTAGTCTAAGGATTCCTTTCTTCCTCACTATTTATTAGCACATGTTTGCAGTACATAATGATCATATTCCTTGTGGGGAGTTGGCACATGTACATAACGCATCTCAATATTCTTATCCTTTTCCCCTCCCTGCTTTCCCTTTTCTTCCATCTCTTGATCCCCATCCCATTTGCAAAATTTCTATTTCCCTACACCCTATTATTATCTATCTTTTATTTTGCTCTTTATTTATATTTTTGGTTTCTCATATAGGAGAAAACATGATATTTAAGTTTATGTGTTCTGATTTCTTTCATTCAATATTAGGGTCTCAAGTTGCATCCATATTCCTACAAATGACTCAAGGTTATCTATTTTTTTGAGACAGGGTCTTACTATGTAGCTTAGGCTGACCTCCAACTCATGGCCATCCAAGAGCTGGTACTACAGAATTGCACCACCATGTCCAGCAAGTTTATCTGTTATGGTAGAGTAGTATTCCATTGTGTGCAAATAACACATTTTATCTGTTCATGCATTATGGACATACAGGCTGCTTCCAAGATTTAGCCATTGTTCATTGAGCTATATTATACTGTAATATGATGCCTTTAACTTTTTCAGGAAGATACTTGGAAGGGAAATAGCATGGTTGAATGGAATTTCTATTACTAGTTTTTGAGAAATCTCTGTACTGATTTCCATAATTATACTAGTTTACATTCCCACCAACAATGTAGAAGGGTTCCGTTTCCCTGCAGCCTCGCCAAAATTTATTATTTATTATTTATTATTATTTGATTTCTTGATGATAGCCATTCTTTCTGGAATAAAATAGAATCTCAGAGTCATTTTTGCATTAAAGAGAAGTTGAACCATTTTTCATGTATATAGGCCACTTTTGAAAATTATAGATTCATTTCAGATATACCCATTTTTTGGATTGGATATTTTATTTTGGAGGTGTCTGATTTGGGGGGGGGGTTCTTTATGTATTCTAGATTCTGTCCTTTGTCCAAGGACAGACTAGCTGGCAAAAGGTTTTTCTGTAGGTTGTCTATTCACTCTATTGGTTGTTTTCTTTGCTGTGCAGGAGCTTTTTAATTTGATGTGATACTATTTGTTATTTCTTGTGCAGTTGGGGTTCTGTACAGAAAGTGCTTGTCTATACTGTGTCTTCAAGAATTTTACCTATTTTATCTTCCAACAGATTTTTTCTGTTTTAACATTCAGATCTTTGATCTATTTTCATTTTAGTTCATTACATGGTGAGAGATACGTGTCTAGAGTCAGTTTTCTGCATGTGGATAGCCAGTTTTCCCAGCACCATTTATCAAGGAGGCTATATTTTCTCCAGTGTATGTTACTGGCCCCTTTGTCAAAGGTCAGATAGCTGAATGTGCCTAGGATTATTTCTGCATCCTCTATTCTGTTCTGTAGAGCCACATGGCTTTGTGCCAATATCATGCTGTTTTATCACAGTAGCTGTATAAGATTTCTTGAAGTCTGGGATTGTAATGCCTCCTGGTTTGTTCTTGTTACTCAGGATTGCTTTTGCTACTCTGGGTGTCTTCCTGTTCCATGTGAATTTTAGAGTTGTTTTCTGTAGTTCTGTGTGGAATGCTATTGGTATTTTGAGATTGCATTAAATCTGTGTATCAGTTTTGGAAATGTGGCCACTTTGACTGTTGGTTCTGCCCATCCAGGAATAGGGGATATCTTTCCATTTTCTCATGTTGTCTTTGATCTCCTTTTCAGAGTAGTGTAGTTTTCACTGCAGAGGTCTTTTATTTCCTTGGTTAGGTTAGTTCCTAAGTATTTAATTTTTCTTGATGCTATTGTGAATGATATTGTTTTCCTAATTTCTTTCTTAGTGAGTTCATTATTGGTCTAAAGGAATGCTATTGATTTTTCTGTGTTGATTTTGTATCCTGCTACATTGCTAAATTTGGTTGTTAATTGTAGGAGTCTTAGTGTAGTATTTTGGGTCTTTTATTTAGAGCAGTGGCGACGAACCTATGACAACCATGCCACAGTGGGCATGCAGAGCCCTCTCTGCGATGATGTCACAAGTTGTATGAGATACAACTCTGGATATTTCATACTCTAAGCACCAGTAATGTACCACCGTAAATCATTGAAAATAGAACTGTAGAGTTTGGAAATTCTGAGGTCTCCCTGTGACTTCCCATGGGGCAAGTCTGGAAGAGCACCAGGTCTTCACCCACCAAGGCAGATTTTGAAAACAAACCAGTAAATGGCCTCAAGTCAGAATCCATGGAATACAGTAGTGGTGGTCATGGAGAAGAACAAAAATTGGAAGTGAATACACAGCCCTTTGAAAATCTGACAAAAAATGAAGAAAGCATGACAGGTATCGAGATGGAGAGGTGGATGCAAAACAAGAAATCACATTTATCTAAGCATGCCAATGGCTACTTCAGTGTAAATGTCACTGAAGCTGAAAAATCAAAACAGTCTGAAGATGACAAGAAATAAACCAAACCTCCAAAATTAGTTGTACAAACTGTAAGAGATGGCATTTAAAAAGTGCCCTGTCTAGCAGCTGAAGCAAATGTATCATTTACCAAATTCAGTATTGAAGAATTCGGCAAGGCATTGGGGAACCATCCTTACAAACTCCTGAAAGACACTCGAACCATAACAGTGCCATGAGCTCCATTGTCTCTGGTGTGAGCTGTGATCACCTCAAGACAAGAGTAACATCTTTGTCTTCCAAAAGCCTGGCTTTAATTGCAAATCTGAAGATTCTCCAAACTTAAAACAGTCAGACCAGCACACACAGTGAGGGCAAGCAGCCTAATCCCCTCATCCCCAGAACTGAATAAAGACCTGTGAGATGTCTTCCCCATGCAGCCTACACTCCTCTCCGTCATGAAAGACAGGAGGCTCACGCTGGAGCCAGTGGTGGCCATTGAGGCCCTGATACAACTCTCTGAAGCCCTGTCAGAGAACTCTTCACCATCCAAGTCAGAGAAGGAGGAAGAAACAACTCAGAGAACTGGTAGTTTCCTTAACAACTGCAAGGCCATCCTCTACTCTGTAAGAAAAGACCTCCAAGACCCTAACTTCTGTGGAGAGCTGCAAAGTATTCCTCATTCCTTCTCTGGAAGAACAAAGTTCATGCCCCACAGTGGTGTTCAATGGCCAAAATACTCTGTCCAAGCTGCAGATTGGCCCCGCTATTAACCAGGCACCCACCAAACCTGTTGAACATTCAAGTCAAAAATTCAGTATCTTTTTTAATACCAAAATTCAATTCTTTGAAAATCGATACTAGTAGAAGTGTCACTGGAAGTAGGACTGGTCTTGATGATGGTTCTCAGAATTTACATCAGTTGTCACCAACAAGTAATAAATTGGCATATGTTGACCAGTTGCTGGACAACAGTGAAAATTTGAATTCCAAGGAAGATCCGTCAAGTCAGGACACATCTTACAGCCAAATTGAGAAGATGTTGCAATGCAATTAACACAACTTGCATCAAAAATTAAATGCAGTTATATAAAAGCAAAGAACAAGAATGCTGAGAGTCCACCAACAAGCCTTGTTGCCCGTAATCCACAGCAAAAACATAGAAGAGCACAGTGCCACAGAAACCACCTTCAAGTGTGCAAAACAATCGTAGTTTATTGTTCCATTATCCTTTTTGGGGGGGGGGCGGTTACCAGGGATCAAACTCAGCACCTTGTGCTTGCGAGGCAGGTGCCGGAACCACTGAGCTAAATCCCTGGCCCTGTAGTTTATTGTTAACAAAGCAAAAGAACACAACCCAGAAAAAGGTGAAGTCTACCCCCACAAGAGATTGGCGAGAAAAGAAATCCACGATCAAGAAAATGATCAGAAGCAGCAAGAGCGTATGTCGTATGAGTATAGTAAGTTACATGGCATTTGGATTGGATCCAGATTTCAAAGATTTGGTAAATTTCGTCCTCATAATTTTTCTCTTCTCATCTGCTGGGAAAAATTCCTTCCTTTTCCACCATTTTGAAACCACTGGGTCAAACCAGTACCACCCTACAACACAAAAAATTATTTCCTCCCCTCAGTCAGATCAAATTTGAGTAATATCCTAATTAGTACAGGAGAAAATGGTGAAGGTTGAACCTTTGGATTCCCTTTCCATGTTTCATCCCAAGGCCAAATCCCACGGGCAGGCGTGTGTGGATAAAGCCCACAGTCCTCAGGTACTGTCAGTAGTCAGTGACAACCTTAAAGCTCACCCTGTGCTCCCGCCCTCCTGACCACCTAACTGCACAAACCTGGTGGCTGGCAGTGACCAAACACCGTTTCCGCAGGATGCCCAAGAGCACCTCAGGCTGCAGACTGGCAGCTGTCTCTCCAGAGACCCCCTTGCCAGACCTTGCACAGATTCTCAGAAATGTGAAAGAAGTCAGTTCAGGCAGAATTACAGTGATTTCTCCCAAGAGCAAAGAGGAAGTCTATTCACCTGGTGTTCGAGTGTCTTGAGTTTTCCCTTGTAGACTGTGCACAGAAGAGTTTTCATAATTATGCCATGAAGTTCCTCACTAATCCTGGCAAAAACCTAGTGGCTTCAACAAAAGATGCAGAAGTACCAGGCTACAACTGTCCTGATCGAGGTATACAAAAAGACAAAGGCCCATATTATACACACGTGGGGGCAGGACCAAGTGTTGCTGCTGTCAGGGAAGTCATGGAGAATAAGTATGGCCCCAAAGGAAAGACAATAAGGATAGAAAAAGTTGTGTACATGGGAAAAAGAAGGAAAAAGCTCTTAAGGGTGTCCAGTCTCTAACTGGGTTATCAGAAGAAGCAGAGAGGAAGAGAGGATTCTTTGGTCTGGCAGCGCCCAGGGCACCAGTGCCAGACTGCTGTGATAGTGGTGCTCATCATGTTGTGGGATGGTATCCCACTACCAGTGATGGACAGACTGTACACAGAGCTCACTGAGAACCTGAAGTCATTCAGTGAGCACCAGACAGACCCAAGATGTACTCCCAATAAAAATCATACCTGCACATGTCAAGGAATTAACCCAGAGATGTGTGGAGCTTCATTTTCTTTTGGCTGTTTATGGAGCAATGTTCATGGAACATTTCAGTGTGTGCAAATTTGGTAGAAGCCCAAGCCCCAGAAGATTTAGAATTGATCCAAGTTCTCCCTCACATGCCTACTATGAAAGAATTTCTAAAGGACATAATCCAGAAAGAAGATATGTGAAACTGGAACTAGTCTGTAAGGAACACATGGCTGTGGAAAAGAACCTGGAAAATATTTACAAAATCTGGATACAGAATTAGCTCCAATTTATAAGCAATATGTGCCTGTTGCTTGCCAAAACCAGGTGGAATATGAACATGTTACCCGAGAATGCTGGCTTGGTCACAAGGAAGGTCATCCTTTCTCTGGGGTTATTGCCTGCCTCAACTTCTGTGCGCATCCACATTGGGACATCCACAACATGAACAACAGGAGCACTGCGGTATGCACCTGTGGGGCTGTGCCATCAGGAAGTTCTGTCACTGCATGCTTAGGCTGCAGTCCTTACTTGTGATCACTGTTGTGACAAATCTTATGTTATAGATTGTTAGATATGAGATGATATTTATTAAACATTATCAATGTCTTTCCAACAAAAAAAATAGAACTTATTTAGTGTAATCACTAAGACAAACCAAATATTGATGTACAGTGAACACCTACCAAATCCAACAACTATACCTCTGCTAACAATAGGACAGTATTCAACAGTAATAACAGGGTTAACTCTAAAGAGTCATAAAGCTTAATAGTATACTATAAAGGATAAAGAGGTTGGGGAACTGGAGAATGAAAAAGTAGAATTTGAAAAATTAATCAGTGGAAGATAAGGAGGAGAGAAAAGTGAGATAAAAGATTGCATTAAGAGCTGGGCGTGGTGATAATCCCAGCACTTCCAAGGCTGAGGCAGGAGGAGGTTCGCCATGGGTTCAAAACCAGCCTGAAGTACATAGTATAACTGTTTGTATTAAGGTGTAAAAAGGAAATTTAGTAGAATTGGATGAAGGTAATGTGAAAGAACAAACAAAAAGAAAAAAGAAAAAGAATAAAATAAAAGAAAAAAGAATTAGAAGGAGAAAAGAAAAAGAAAAAAGAAAAAAAAACCCATCAAAACCTCTTAAACTCCAAAAAACAAATGAAGGAAAAATAAAGACAAACTGAATAAAAAAAATTCTCTTGTCTTTTTGAATGAGTGGTTTTTTTCCAGGATTTTTAGTCTTGGAATCCAGCAAGTCGCGATTTTCTCATTTTCACCACCTATGGTTTATGACGTGCCCCCCTTGCTCCAGAGGTTCCTCTGTCTGTATACCCAGACTGTGGCAGTTGTCCAAGTTGAGGTGTGTCCTTGTACACTTGGTAGATCAGACCAGTGGTCTTTGCTGGATATACACAGTGGGTTGGAGGTTCAAGTAGAGTACTGGACTTAATGCCAGCACTTTCAGGTCCGTCTTTCTCTTAAAGCCACACTCAGTAGGTCTGGTTTCTTACCACAGAGGCTGGGGCCTGTGTCCTTCTCAGTTTGAGATTAAACTTCTCAGGGGATCTATCCCTAGCTTTTATCCTCTCCACAGTTTTCTCCCTGGCTGTTTCTTACCAAGTCATGGTAGGATGTTAAAGCTGGAAATCCCGAAGTGGAGTTGTTCTGTACTTTTGTGGCTTAGTCTATTAACCCTTTCCCAAAATGGTGCCTGATGAAACACATCTAGGGCAACATGGTGGGTGCTGCAATAGGTTTCTTTAACTCTAGCCTGCCTTTAAGGAATAATTTTTCAAGTAAAGACACAGTATTTTTGTAGTTTTCCAGAGCCATGGGCTTTTCTTGGGTTTACCACTGCTGGGCAACTCTATTATTTCTCCCTGGAACTGTTGACTCTCTAGGCTTACCCTCTCTCCAGGGACATTGGCTTTATCCACATTCATGTTGATCTGTTGTTGGAGCCTCTGCTGGCCCTGCAGAGGGAAAACAAAGCAGAGCAGGCTTAGAATTGGTGAATGGCCATGGCCAAGGCATGAATTCCACAGATGTGGGGTTGACCAGGAGCAAATGCTTCACAGGGACAGGAATTCTTAAGTAAATCACATTTCATGCATTTTCTCATAGTAGTATAATTGAGATGTTTCTTTTTTATTATTTTTGGAAGACAAAGACCAACTAGCTTTTGCTTTTGATATGTTTGTGAAAAAGTTTTTAATCAGTTTGTATAACCTTTACTTATTCATCTCCCTCCTCACCATTGTTCCCAAATTGAGTAGTATTTTAAATATTCATTATGTATAGCAGTATAAAGTGCGGACCAGTTTAAATTTCTTTGATGCGTTCCTGCTAGCTTGAATCACCAATGGTACATGCATGACTGCCCCATCAGATGGCTTTTGCCGTACAATTGGACTGGACCTTGCCACCCAATGGGGCAATCATGCATGTACCACCAGTGGTTCAGAGCCCCCCAGTAGTAAAACATATGAATTATAGCCCTGTTGTTAACCTCGTTTTTTAAAAAATTAATTTACTGGTACATTTTAGATATACATAATAATCATATTCATCATAGGGAATTTGAGAACTTGTGCTTGTACATGATATATCCTTTTTTTTTTTGTACCAGGGATTGAACTCAAGACCTTGCACTTGCAAGGCGTGGTGCCACTGAGCTAAATCCCCATCATTATGTGATAAATAAATCTTCATTGTTCTTTTTTTTTTCCGCATTCCCCTCTGCTCTGTTCAATCCCTCATTCCCTCTTTACTTACAAAAGCTTCCATTTTTTCCTTTCCTGTTTTTTTTCTTTTCCTTCCTTTCTCTCCTTCCCTCCCTTTCTCCTTAGTTCCCATACCCATTTGATCATTTTCTCCCTATTTCACAATATCTGTTATACATTTTGGTTCTTATTTATACTTTCATTTTCTCACACCAGAGAAACAATGTGATATTTACACGTGTCTGATTTATTTCACTTAAGAATATGATCTCAGGGTGCATCCATTTACCTAGAAATATCTCAAGGTTATCCTTCTTTATGGCTGAGTATGTTAACATGTTAAAACTTACAGTAGTACCATTAAAGAAATGTACCTTTTCACCCAGGAATGTAAGGAATATAGTGTTAGCCATGAGTCTATGAAGCTTGGAGGAAACAGTACCAGTGAAAAGGCAGATGGACTAAGCAAAGGTAAGCTGTAATTTTGAATATGACCTGATATTTGAGTTATATTTTCCAAACAACTTATGTAATTCCAACTTTGGGTTGTTACAACAAAAATGTAGGATTTCTTTCTAAATATCCTTGTGAGAATTGCCAGTCAGCAAAGGTTTCATCAAGGAGATGATTCAATTAGATGATAGTACACCAGTCAGGCCATCTGTCCTGCCATTCCCAGCCCAGAGGAAGGGGGTTCCGGGCCACCACCCGTCCCACTGCTCCCGGCCCAGAGGTAGGGGCTTCTGAGCCACCATCCCAATGCTCCTGGTCCAGAGAAAGGGGCTTCCTGGCCACCATCCCTACCACCACTCCTGGCCCCTGTCCCACCTCTCCCAGCTCAGAGGAGGTGAGCTGCACGGGTGCCAACAGCACTCTGCCTGCCCCCCCAGTCGAAATGAGAAAACATCAAATAAGTCTCAAAACCAGACTTCCAGATCACCTACAGCAACCTCAAAGGGAAATGAGATGGAATACTCTGATACTCAACCACCTGGACCCACTGAACTGGCAACAAAAGGGGATCTGGAAAAAATGAAATCAGAAATAATTTCTCAGGTAACAGGAGAAATTGTGCTCCTAGTGCAAGATATGATTAATACATCTAGAGAGGAGCTGAGGAACATGATGAAATCCCAACATGGGAAACAAATGGAATCCATAAAACAGATGCAAATAGATTTCCAGGAGATGAAAAACTCCATTGAAAGTCTATGCAGCAGAATGACCCAATGTGAGGACAGAATTTCAGATATAGAAGATAACATTGCAATTAATGACCAGGAAAAGAAAAATTGCTTCAAAATTATAAGGGAACATGAGAAAGCAATCCAGCAGCTGCTAGACGATGCAAAGAAGGATAACATAAGACTGATTGGAGTCAATGAAGAAACAGGAGAGAGTGCAGATGACATAACAAAAACTCTTCACAGAAATAATGGCGGAAAACTTCCCAAGCAGAGGAAAAGAACTTGACATACAGATAAGTGAGGCATATAGGACTCCAAATAGCCTTGATAAAAAAAAATCTACACATAGGCATATAATTGTTAAGATTCCAGAAACTCAACAGAAGAACAAAGTTCTACAAGCAGTGAGAGAAAAGAAACAAATCACATACAAAGGAAAGCCCATCAGAATCACAGCAGATTTCTCAACACAAACCATCAAGGCAAGAAGAGCTTGAAGTGAAATATTCCAAACCCTCAAAAGAAAACAGCCTCCAACCCAGATTGATGTACCCTGCAAAACTATCTTTCAAAATTGATAGAGAGATAAGATACTTTCAAAGAGCACCTTAGGAACTTCATGAATACCAAACCAGCACTCCAAAAAATTTTACACAATATCTTAGGAACAGACATTGAGGATCACAACCCCAGGAAGCAAAGCAGAATGAACCCATCTGGCACGACAAGAGATTAAATGCAAAGGGGGAGAACCCAACAAAAAGAGAAAGTCATGGCAATGATAAGTCAATACATTTCAGTTATAACCATCAAAGTTAATGGTCTCAATTTACCAGTCAAAAGAAATAGACTGGCAGAATGGGTCAAGAAGCAAAATCCAACAATATGCTGCATACAAGAAACACACTTAATTCAAAAGGAAACTCATAGACTGAAAGTTAAAGGGTGGAAAACAATACTCCTTGTGACCGGAATCAGAAAAAAAGCAGGAGTAGCTATCCTCTTTGCAGATCAAGTAGATTTCAAACCAACACTGATTAAGAGAGACGAAGAAGGTCACTACATCCTTGTAAAGGGAACAATCCAAGAGGAAGAGATGACAATCATAAATATCTATGCACCAAACACTAGTGTGCCCAACTATATAAAACAAATACTAATGGACATGAAAAGACATATATGCACTAATACAATTGTAGTGGGGGATCTCAACATCCCATTGTCACAGATAGTACACTAGTCAGAAAATCTGGGGAAGAAAAGCACTTTTGGTTGAGAGAACAATTCCACGATAAAGACATGGGAGGAGTAAAATTAGGGAGGATGTTTTGTTCTTAGACTTCAGTGTATTTTATGTTATTTATAGTGCGGTATCCATGGATAGCACCAGGTAAAGCTAGAAAAATGGGTTTGAGCCAAATTCTGAAGTCAGTGGAGAAATGAAAAGAGATCTATGATTTTAGCAGTTAAATGATCTTCACATGATTAATTTCTGAAGGTAGTTTAAAGCAGAGCAAGACTAAGTATGTCAGATAAGAATAGTAGGTGAAGAACTGGAAATAACTGTACTGTTTAAATTTGGGATAGGAAAGAGAAGTAGAAAGCATTTCAAGAGAGCAGAATTGAGAGTGGGATTTTGTTTTATAGTTGTAGGAAAGAAATCTATGGGTTGGGAAATATTTTTGTATGCAGTGGAGAGAATAGTAGACCTGTAGGAAGAAATGGAAACAAGAATAAGATGAGTGAACATTAGAGGGAAAAGGAAGTAAGGTTGCAGGAATATGTAGACAAATAAGAGGATAAAAGTAGGAAAATTGGAATTCTATAGAAAATAGGCATCTCATTTTCCTCATAAAATGAATAAGGTCATGTGAGAGTAAATGGAGTTACAATCTAAGCAGAAGATTCAATATTTACATCATTCTAAAGAATTTTTAGATAAGCTGGGTCTGTAATCCCCACTCTCCCACGCATCTCTTAGCTGTCTCGGTACAGAAGGAAATTTAGCCAATGTAAGGACTGACTGATGGCTACTAGAGGAAGACAGAGTCCAAAAGTTGAAGGTAGGGCCAGGGTTTTAGCTCAGTGGTTTCGGTACCAAAAAAAAAAAAAAAAGTTGAAGGTACTTTGTAATGGGAAAATATTAGTTTAGGAAAAATTTGTTTTACTGAGGGAACAGGGGACTTGAATGAAGATGCTAAGAAAACTAAATATAAGTAATTGGAAAGTTAAAAGTAGGAGTATGAGAGATACTGCTAGTTTAAGACAGTTTGCCAGTTATCTACGTATTTCTTTTTCTTTGAAGTAGAAGGATCTAGATGTAATGAAGAACCCAGTATTTCACATATTAAGAAGAATAAGTATTCCATATCAGAATTCTTTAGCTCCCATCCCAAAAGGTAAACTCTTATTATGGTTTTAATTAAATGAAATATATTTATTTAAGCTTCTGTTTGCATATGTATATCTATATATTTATGTATGTCGATGTATATGAGATGACCATTGTATCTTAATTGGGTAGTTATATTAAATACATTTTAAAGTTTCAAATTGCTAAAATCACTATGACTTAGGCAGATAGAGGGTTACAAGTGAAGAAAAGTATACTAATATATAAAATAAATGAAGTGTTAATTTTTAATAATCACTCATCCTCTACCACTTTTTCCATGTTTCTTTCACCTGGGAACTAAATCCTGAGTTTGTTTTCGTTGAAAATTTCCAAAGTTTTCTTTATGGATTTTAGGGCCTGAAAATTGAATAAAACGTGACAGAAACATTTTTTGCTCTTTTCAGTCCTTTTTTTTACTTTACCAGTAATGGGAATAAAACATGATGAAGTTACTTGGGGAGAGTATTGTACTAACATAGACTAGAACCATGCAGAATGAATTCGAACAAAACACATTATTCCTTCTGATCCTTTTTTGAATCTTTAAACTCTGTGAGCTTCATTTACCCTCTTAAGTTGGTCCAAATACGGGGCTTTTGTTATACTGTGTAGCCTACCTTCAGTATCTAAAGATGTACCCTGCTGTTATTGTTATACCAGGGTACTCTCAGTCTGTGGCCAGTCAGTTGTGTCATTAACATTGTCTGAACTGAGCCCAGAAACAGTACCCACCATCTTCCTTTTCCCAAATCTTCAGGTCTCAACTAACCATAAACCTCAGTCACAGAACTTTTAGGTGGACTAGATCAGATGAAAGAATATAGAAATAAAATGATGTGGAAAAGTAATAAGAGCCAACAAATATCTTATAGCTAATACAGATAGGCTTACTGTGCAGCAGGCACTATATTAAGGACTTTTATGTGTACTAACATTTTATCCTATCTTATGTTGATTTTATTAACTCCTATTTTCACAGTGAACAAACTAAGGCATAGAAAATATACATTAGGTAATTTACCTAAAATCACACAGCAATCCCAGCACCCTGAGAAGTTTAGGCTGGAGGATTGCAGATTTGATTGAGTGTATCCTGGGCAAATTAATGACTTAGCAAGCCCTTGTCTCAAAATAAAAAAATTTAAAAAGTGCTGGGGATGGAGCTCAGTGTGAAGGCCTTAGGTTTAGTCCTCTTTATTAAATAAGCCACATGTGAAATTTGTGGCAGAAGAAGTTTTAACTGCAAGATCCATTGTTCTCAGCCATTTAACCATTGTTACACTGTTTCAACACAAGATTTATTTAGCTTTTCATTCTGAAAGAATCATATTTTTGCATTTGGCCACTTCAATATTAGCTGTATTTTCATTGATATGAAGCAGTTCTCTGTTCTAGATTTATATAAGTGTTTTAAATGAATGTTTGAATATTGAACCCACTATTGTAATGATTATTATTTTTAAAATGACCTAATTTTTCAAATTTAATAGTAGTAGTCCTGCAGTTTGTAAATAAATGCATCTTACTAGTTATGAATGCAGAATGCTTTTAGCACATTTGACTTTTAGTTAAGTAAAATCTTTCTCTTGAAATTTTTTTTCAAAAAGAAAACAGGCAGGACAAAAATAGCGTTATTGCATTTATTAACAGTATTCTTATATCACTGTGTTTTGAGTTTATAAAAATTTCTTTTATATGCTTAATTTTAGAAGAAAAATTACTGCCCAGCACATTGAAAGCAGTGATTCAGAGGAAATTGAGACAAATGAATTGCCACACAAAATAAAAGGTAGTATGTAATGGATTTGATTTGATAATGTGTCCTACATTCTAATCTCATGTGCCCATTTTTATGCTTATTTTGGTTTAATTTTTAGGAAAACTGAAAAATGTGCAGTCAGAGAATAAAAGGCTAAAAGGTATGTGCATGTCTTCTCAGTCTTCATAATGTATACTTAAATATTATTGAAGTAAAATCCCACTCATTTGCATCTACATAGCTTAGAAATTTTTAGTGATAGGTCTTCAGTTTGGCTGCTCTTTACATTGAAACTCTTCATGGACTTTACCATATGTATTAAATGAATTAAATGAGGCCAATTCAATGAACAGTTTGAAGACAAAATAATTTTCTATAAATGATAATCAACAAAATTAGGTTGGGAGTGCCTTCTTGGAAATATTCACATTATCTTCCCATCAGGCCCCATCTCCTAATAAAACGTCAGCTATAATGCCCCTATAATCCAGTCACCTTCCAAAGGTTTCCTAACTTAGGATTTCATGAGATGGGACACCATTATCTGAATATTTAGGGGACACCTAGTTATAAACCATAAACTCAAAACTGTAACAAAGATCAAAAGGTGTAAAATTAGTATCTTTACTTTTTTCCTTTTTCTTAGTATGTTTATTTTCCTTTAGTGCAGATCATATTGTATTCTTAGTGAAGAGAATGTATTGTGTTTGGAAAATAACTGATCACTTCTGGACTGAATTGAAAATTTGCAGCCTCGTAATTAGGAGTCAGACATCTATTTCCTTGAAAAAATCTTCCACCTGAGAGCTGAATAACTTTGCTTCTGCTTGCCCTTATTTTCATATGAGTCCTTCAGAAAACAACAGTCTTACCGTGATACTCTGGAGAGATGCTTAGTGTCAGAGGTAGCAATTTTGGTTACCATATATTATTATTATTATTATTATTTAATAACAGAAGCTATCAAGATAGTATAAAAGTGGTATTCTGATTCTTGTCTTCAGAAAGTACCTGTCCCTTATGCACAGGAAAGAATTTCAAAATATCTTAATAATTCTATGGGTTCCTTTTCTCCTAGCAGGATCATCTAAGAAAGAAGATGCAACATTTTCACTTACCTCACCTCCGATGGCGAAAAAGAAAATGTTAAAAAAGGGTCAGTAAATCTGCTATGTTTTTAGCTTTTTTCTGTTTTTTTAGTGAAAAAAATAAGTTGTAAAAGTTATGGAGTCATATTACAAGAAGTTTGGAAAATAGAGAAAAGGGAAAAAAAAACTATGTTTTGTTGTTGTTTTGTTTTAATGTCTTCTCCTGTTGTATTTGTTTTACAAAGATCAAAATATGATGCCAGGGTCATTACTCCTGAATAGCAGAGGTATTTATTCTAGTGAAGGCACAAAATAATTTAAGGCTGCTTTAAAGCTTAATTTAATTTGTATTAAATTCTAGTAAGGATATAATTTTCAGAGTAGAATTGGCTTTTCATTTAAGAATGTTAGTAATCTTATAAATTTGTACTTTGTAGTTCATAGGAAAGAAACATTGTCTAAGGAAAAAGACTGAACTAGCTCTAAAGAGATCTGGAACAAATTATATCTGTATACTTTGGTTTTTTTCTTTTATATGTTGGAGGTATAGCAGAGTATTTTCATGAGGTTTGTGATCTAATGATGGGGGAAACATAAAATAAATAAATAAATAAATAAATAATTTTAAATGATAAGTGATGAGATGAAAAGGAGAGTAATGAAATAAAGATGGACCTGAAAGGGCTCTTGATTCTAATTTTAGAAATTTAAAGAAATGTAGATGTTTTCATTTGAGCCAGAATTAAGTTGATACATAGAAGCACTTTTTCCGTTGGCAGGCAGATGGCAGTGATTGAGAAAATTAGTCCTAGCTGTGTTAAGACTAAAACAAATACATCTGTGGAAGAGAAGCGTTGTAGAAATAGAAGTCAAAGAGTAGAGAGAGAAGTCATGGTAATGCCTGGGCCTGTTGTAGATACTGATTTGTTTAATGGGACACAAAAAGTCATTAGGAATAGATTAAATTCTACATTTAAAATTTCCATGTATCAAAAGGCACTAAAAACAAAATGAAAACTGATATGCTGAAAAAGTATGTGTGGTAAATATGATTGACAGAAGATGAGAATCTAGACTGTATAAGAATTTTCAAGTCAATTTCTAGTAAGACATTGTAATAGAATTGAAGGATGTAAACATACAGTCCAGATAAAGAAAGTGCAAATTACCAGTAAACATAGGAAAAGATGTGCAAATGTAATTATTGGGGAAATGTAAATTAAAGGCATAATAACATACCATCTCATTTTTTGAGTATTTAAAAATCCTACAGACACCAAGTAAGACAAGGTTATACAGCAGAAGGAACTCTCCATACGCTGTGAAGGGGAGTGTCAATTATGATGGAGAGCAACTAGGCAAAAGTACTATATAGCGGAGCTGAAGATAAACCACCTAGAATTCATGTATATGTACAAAAATGCTTTTCATTACATTGTTTTAGCAAAATACTGGGAATAATGTAAACATCCAATAAGGGAGTGGAAAATAAATTATTCCACTCAAATAATGCAGTACTATCAGTTAAAATGAATACACTAGAGCTACAAATACTAAAAAGCATAAACCTCAAAAATACATGGCATTGAGAATAAAGCAAGGGCCGGGGATTTAGCTCAGTGGTTCCGGCGCCTGCCTCGCAAGCGCAAGGACACGAGTTCGATCCCCGGTACCAAAAAAATGAGAATAAAGCAAGTTGTGGGATATGTAAAATATGAATATGTATAGTTTCAAAATCATTTAAATGTGAGTATAGTACAGGTACGATAGATATTGTATAAATATAAAAACATGCAGAGGAAGATTATACAGTCTGCTTTACCAGTTTGTCAGGATAGTCTTTGTTGTAAAGAGAATATTAAGCAAATATGGGAAAATGTTTCCATACATTATTATTACATGGTTAGTGTTCTCTAGTTTTTTGACATATCTTATTATAAATTAAGAGTTTGCTTTATGATAAAAAAATGTATTTCCAGAAAAATTTTAGTCTATTGTTCCATTGAGTTTTCGTTACTACTCATTCCTCCATCTCTTCTGCCTTGGGCTGATGAAGAAAATAGTATTAGCTCTAAATATTTCAGGTTAGAGAAAAAAGGCAGATGAGATACTAGGAAATATACATTGCTTTAAGTTACGTTTACCTCTCTTTTGAACTCGCCAAAAGATAGAAATATTTTTATTTTACAAATTTTTTTACCCAGCTAAAATAAAAAATTTAAAAGGTTAGTTAGTTAAATCATATTCACTGTTGAGAAACAAAATCCTCCTTTATTTGTGAGACTTTAAAGGACCTTATATTATTATGGAGTTTTTGATAGCCAAATCTGAGGAAATCAGCAGTGTAGTAAATAAATAATGATTAAATTGAGAGAAAAATAGCATAAGCAGTGTATCACAGTTTGTCTCCATTGCGAAAATTAGACTACATAATAAGCAATGAAATATTTAACTAGAAATATGTATGCTGCTCTGTTTTAACAAACTAAAGGTATTTGGTGCAAGAAACCATTATGTTTAGAAAATAATTGAAAGGATTTTCCATGCTTATCATAGCCATTTGTTGAAAGACTTATGGTTCCAATTCACTGTTTTAGTTACTTTCTCATTGCCTGGATAAAATACTCAACATCCACAAGTTAAAGAAGGAAGGATTTATTTTAGCTCACAGTTTGTGGAGATTTCAGTCCAAAGTCAGCTGGCCACAAAGCAGGGCAACATGGCAGAGGAGAAACAGTCTATGGAATGGCAGACAGGAAGTAGTGCCTTCTTTTCTCTCTTTTTATTCCATCCAGACTGCAAGTCTATTTGTTCATGTCATCCACACCCAGAACTAAGCTAAACCAATCAATGGACTAATCCAGAATCACACCTATGATCTAGTATCACACACCTGTGATTCAGTCACTCCCCAAAGCCCCACCTATGAGGTCACGAGGCTTTGGGAGACATCTAGATCCAGTATAAGCCATAGCACTCATTTTCGTTGGATATTTCCTTGCCTTGCCTTTTCACTTCATTTGGGATTCTAATCAATTGTTACTTCAGAAAACAGCAGTTCCCTTACCTCTTCCCAAACCTGCTCCTCTAACTCACAGTTTGTGTACTCATATCACACTTAATTCTTTTTTTTTTTTTTTTTGGTACCAGGGATTGAACTTGGGTCCTTGGGCTTGTGCAGCAGGCAGGGAAACCACTGAGCTAAATCTCCAGCACACACTTAATTCTTCTTATAACTATTTGACATTACTATGTATGTATGTATCTGTGGCCGTCCATTAGTATGAAAGCTACATAAATCATTTCAGCCATTTCCTATTGATCAGAGAAGCCAACCCTGATAGAATGTGGGAGGTGATTTACATAAGTTATGAATAGCAGGAAGTGGAGATCATTGGGGGCCATTTTGGAGTCTACCATATTAAGTGTAGTGTGAATTTAGGAAACAGCATAAAATAATATTCATCTTTATGAATGACTATGTATCAATAGATATTACAGACTTCCACCTCGTGTCCTCTCCCAGTGACAATCTTCTGGCTCTTCCAATAAATAATTGCTATCTGGAGTTTCAGTTTTTTTAAATTATAAGGCAAAATCTAGTCATGTTACTTTATACCTTGAAACAAATTCATTTTGTTCTTGACAATTTTTCCTATTTTCTATTTTTAAAAATACATTTTATTTATTTTATCCCACCACCCCCCAACTCCCCATTATCATATAGGCATATTATTGCCTTTGTACTGAGCTATGTCCCCAACCCTGTTTTTTTAATTCTTTAAAAAAATTTTTTTCCGAGACAGGATCCCAGCAAAGTTACCCATAAGTTGAACTTACGATCCTCTTGCCTCAGTCTCAGAGTTTTAACAAATTGGCATTTCAAGTGTGTACCACCATGCCTGGCTAATGATTGGTCACCCCCCCCGTCCCTCCCTCCCTCCTTCCCTTCCTTCCTTCCTCTCATTTTTTGTTTTCTGTTCTCCCTTTCCTCCCTTTGTCTCTCCCTTCCTCCCTCATTCTTTTCTTCCCTCCCTCCCTTGCTTTTTCACTTCACTCTCTTTGTTTTTGTGCTACTGAGGACTGAACCCAGACTTTTAAACTGAGCTATATTCCCAGCCCTTTTTATTTAAATTATTTGTTTTGAGACAGTGTCTTGCCAAGCTTCCCAGGCTGGGATTGAGTTTGGGATCCTCCTGCCTTAGCCTCCCAGAGTGCTGAGTTTATAGGCATGCACCACTACACCTAACTAATGATTTGTTCTTTTAGGAACATCTACAGTAGACAGTTCAAAGAAAAGTAATGTTGAAGAGAGACCAAGAACAACACTGATCATTTGTCCACTTTCTGTGTTAAGCAACTGGATTGTAAGTCTTTGAAGGCTTTCATTTAAAAATATATATAATGTAATCTTTATTTGTCTTACAAGATAAAACATTCTGTTAGAAATATTCTTGGTCATTTTATATCTTTTAGGTGAACTGGGGTTACATTTGCAGAAGTAATTTTTAAGATTTATAGTAGAGAGAATAAAGAAACATCAGTCCTAACATAAGATTTGGTTTGTGTTTCTGCATTTGCCACTTTTATTCTTCCTAAGGGAGAAAGATACATCATTTGAGACTCCATCATACTAACAGCTTGACCGTTGGAGCTCACTTTTCTGACAATTCTAATAAGAGTTCATTTTCATAGCAATATGTAACATGTAGTGAGCTTCTGTCTACTTAGTTTGTCCTTCAACTCTTTTATGGATTTTTCTTCATTTAACCTATTTTTTCATTTTCCATTTGACCAAATTGAAACAAATAGAACTCAAGTAATTTGACTAACATCATCCGGTAAATATATGATGAAGCTGGGATATAATCTCCAACATTTTTGATTGAACCTGAGACCTTCACACTGAGCTACATCCTTAGCTCTTTTTATATTTTTTATTTTGAGACAGGATCTGGCTCAGTCTTCAAGTTACCCGTACTGGGCTTGAACTTGAGATCTGTCTGCATCAGCCTCCCAGAGTGCTGGGATTACATGTTTGTATCATTACTCCTCATAGTCCTGTTTCTTAAGGCTACCCACCAGAAGTTTATATCCTCCCTCCACCCTCCCAGACTCCTTTTCGTTCTTGGGAATAAACTCTAGGCCTTCACACTGAGCTACATCCCCAGCCTTTTTTGTTATTTTTTATTTTGAGACAGGGTCTCAACAACTCACTGAGTTGCCCAGGCAGGGCTCAAATCTACCATCTCCTTACCTTGGCCTCCCAGAGTGCTGGGATTATAGGCATGTGCCACCATGCCCTGTGTCCTAACTCCTTAACTCATTGTATTTGGGCCCTTGCCACCAGTCCTGTGAATTGCATTGGAATAGATTATTAGTGCTTATCTGTCAAATTCAGTTGCTCCTTCATGACTTTGTCACCTTTCCTTCTTGACTTTATGTATTTCTTATATGTTTAATGTATTTCTTCATTTTATGTGGTCTTCTTTCTATGACATGACTTCTTTTTATTACATGTTTTTGGTTTATTTTATAAAAAGGAAGCTACACCTTCTGATTAGTGTATTTTTTCCTCATAGAGCTAAATGAATTTTAGTAGTCTCTTTCTCTTTTCATTCCAACAAAACTATATATGCTCCTTTTATGTGTGTGTGTAGTTTGTCCTGCGAAGGGGCACACGTGCATACTGGAATTTCAATTTCAGTGTATTAAAGCATAAATCATATAACTATGGTTCTTTGAAGGCTGGGGTATGTGGAGATGTATTTTAAAATAGGTAACTAATGTAATTTTATATTCAGAAAACAAAAGTTTGAGTATTGTAAACTTAGAAAGGTAACTGACAAAATCCTGGTTACTGAGATTATTGGAAGGAATGAGAGATGGTTGGGTATAGAGGAGTTCATGGTAAAGAAACAATTTCATAGTCCCTTTCACCACTTCTCCTTCCTTCTGCCAATCCCATTTCTAGATATTTAGGCAAGTTACTTAACCTATCTCGAAAAAACACCTACATTATTTTCTGTTGAGATATACATATTCATACATATATATATATACACACACACACCCACACATATATAGCTGAGGACAGTCTCTAGAATCATGGTAACTATGGTTCTTTCTTCAGAAAAGTTTATTTTCTTTTGTTCTAGGAGTAATCCCTTCACAAATATGCTCTGTTCCATTTTATTTCCACCCATTAATTAGGTTTTGCATATAACTCTTTCTTATACTGGATTTATTCCCTAGCCAGATTTGTTGAAAACATTCTCTGCATTTTTATCTTTACTGTTTCATATTTTGTTCTTTTTTTGCAATTTTTTTCCTTGGAGTACTGAGGATATAACCCAGTTCTTTAGCACTGACCTACATCCCTAGTCCCTTCTTTTTTTAAATTTTGAGACAAAGTCTTGCTAAGTTGCCCAAGCTGGGCTCAATTTTTTTTTAATTTTTATTTTTATTAGTACATGTTTACAATATATAGTAATTACATTCATTGTAGGGAATTGGTCCATGTACATAACACATTTCAGTTCTTCTTTTTCTGCTTCTGTCCTAATCTTTCCCCGCCTTGTTTTTTGCCAGAATCAGATTCATTTATTTTTCGTGTCCTTATAAATTTGAGTATCACACATAGAGATTAACAAACAAGCCAAAAACAGGTAAAACACATAAAACAACTACACTAAATAAAAGTATACTTTTAGATACATTGGCTGTGATGGATTACAGTAACTTTTTTCTCTTGCTTTTCCTTCTATTTATTTTATACTTTATTTATATGTTGAGTTTCTCATACAAGAGAAACCCTGTGATATTTAAGCTCTTGTGTTTTTTATTTGCTTTACTTAACATGGTCTCAAAGTGCATCCGTTTTGCTACAGATGACTCAGGTCTATCCGTCTTTATGGCCAAGTAGCACTCCAGTATGCATAAATACCACATTTTCTTTATCCATCCATCGATGGGTGTATAGGATGCTTCCAAGATTTAGCTATTATGAATTGTGCTGCTATAAATATAGGTATGCGTACATCACTGTGATATGATATCTTTAGAGTAAATCTTTTGGGAAGATACCTAGAAGGAGAATAGCTGGGTCAGAGGGAATTTGTAGTTTTAATGTTTTGAGGAATCTCCATACTGATTTCCATGTGGTTGTACCTATTTACTCTTAAACCAACAATGGAGAAGGGTTCCTTTTTCCCTACAGCCTCACCAGTATTTGTTAGTGGCAGATAACATTGTGATTTCACCTTTTTCATTTCTTTTTTTTTTTCCCCCTCAGTACTGGGGATCAAACTCTCACGCCTTTGTACTTGCCAGGCAGTCACTGTGCCACTGAGCTACTTCCCTGGCCCCCTCCTTTTTTATTTCTAATTGCAAGGATTTAGGGCTTTTCTTTTCTTATTTTGGTAAGACTGACTGAAGGTTTGTCTATTTTGTTTAATTTTTCAAAGAACCAACTCTTTTAATTCATTGATTGAATTATGCTTTTAGTCTCAATTTCATTAATTTTTTTCTCTGATCTTTATTACTTCCTTCCTCATGCTAGCTTTGGGTTTGTATTGTTCTTGTTTTTTAGGACCTTGAAGTGCATCATTAGGTTATATATTTGAACTTGCTCTATTTTTCTGATGTGGGAATTCACTGCTATAAAGTTTCCTCCTAGGACTATCTTCATTGTTTCCCATGTGTTCCATTATGTTGTATTGGTATTATTGTTTGATTGTAGAACTGTGTAGTAACTTCTTTAATTTCATCTGTGAGCCATTGATTATTCAGGAGGGTTTTATTTAATTTCCATGTGTTTGCATAGTTTCTGTGGGTGTTTTTTGCTATTGATTTCTAGTTTTCTTGCACTATGATCTGATAATATGGATGGGATAATTCTGATTCTTTTGCTTTTACTTAAACATGATTTATGGGCTAGTATGTGGTCAGTTTTGGAGAATGTCCTATGTGCTGCTGAGAAGAATATTCTGTTGTTGGATGGAACACTTGGTAGACATCTAATAAGCCTATTTATTCAAAGGTTTGCTTCAACTCTGATATTTCTTGGGGGTTTTTTGGCTTGTTTATATGCATATGTTTATAATTGTTATTTCTTCCTGTTAAATTGTTCCCTTAACCAACACGTAGCAACTTTCTTTGCCTCTTCTGATCAGTCTTGCCTTGAAATCCACTTTGTCTGAAATTAGGATAGCTACTCCTGCTTTTTTCTGGGTTTCTGTTACACAGAATATTGTTTTTTATCCTTTGATTTTATTTTTGAATTAAATGTGTTTCTTTTATACTTCATATTGTTGGGTTGTGTTTTTTGATCTATTCTGCCAGTGTATGTCTTTTGATTGAGGAATTGAGACCATTCACATTGAGTAATTACTGATAGATATTGTCTTATTTCTGTCATTTAATTATTTTCCTGTTGCTAATTTCCTTTTTTTTTCCTTTTGTTAGCTCCTCATCCCACCAGGTGTATTCATTCTTTTTGATGTATTGACATTATTGGCTTGAATCACTGGTGGTACGTGCATGGCTATCTGAGAAAATGGGTGCCATTGTAGCCCCCCCAAAAGCCAAAGATGTTATGTTATTTTGCATACTCAGCACAAGTCAGCTGCCTTTATGTATAAAACATTTTAAAGAAATTCACAAATATAAATTTCTTTTAAGTTAATTAAATAAATTTGTTGATTATTGTAATAATTTTTAATTGGTAGGAGTAGTATTAATATTTATACTTGGGCAGTAATTATTCAACTTCATGCATCTAACTAGATTCAGCCCATTTATAGACTTTATTAATTTTATTAGTAAAAAGACCAATAAAAGCAATCAGATCCATTTGTTCAAGCTGGCGTGAATGTGTTAAACTTCCCTACACTTTTATCATTCAGTTCTTCTAGGCAGTCCTGTGAAGTATTAGACTGTCTTTCTCTTTTCTCTTTTCATACCCTATATTTAATTAGTCCCCGAGTCCCATCAGTCCCTTCTTAGTATCTTTCTCTTACAACTATCCTTCTCATTCTTTTTCTACTTCTTTAATTCTGGTTTAGGGATTAAGATCTGTCACCAGCTGGGTCTTACTGGTGTCTTCTCTCCAATCTAATCATGATTGTTTTTCTCTTGCTCAAAACCTTCCAAATCTATTGTTTCCATGATTTATTCTGCAAAGAGTTGTAAAAATGTATCATGTTTGTAAGAAGAGCAAGGTTAGTTTCTAATTTTTTCCCTTTTTAGCTGTACCATTGTTGTGGTTGATATTTGGTAAATAGTAGATACAGTAAATGAATCCCGCAATAAATAAATGAAAAATGGATACTGTGCTTGAATCATTCCCTACATCCTTTGAAATATTAGTTGATAGTCTTTTAATGTTTAATTTTGATATTATTCTACTAACTCGTTGAAACCATTGAAGAGCATTTTTATTAAAATATTACATTCTTTTGTTTTTTTTCTTTTTTTGTCTTTTTGGTACTGGGAATTGAACTTGGGACCTTGCACTTACAAGGCAGGCAGCGGCACCACTAAGCTAAATCCCTGGCCCAAAATATTACATTTTTAAAACACTAATTTCAGTTTGAAAGAAATTTCATGTTTTTATTTTCCCTAAAAATGAAGAGGTTACTCATTGATAAGACCAGGAAAAGTTTTTATAATGTGTTATTATGTGTCAGTTTTCCTGATAATATAGCAGCATAGTTATTATTGCTTTTGGTATTTCAGTGTAAACTGAAGAAAGATTGTTTCTATGCAATTTTAATAGCTTCATTTGTGACATGACTGCCAGGATAGCACTTTTTATGTACATAAGCCTGACACTAACCTGCTATATATTAAAAATGTTTCTAATTTTCTTTTAGGACCAGTTCGGACAACATATAAAATCAGAAGTGCATTTGAATTTTTATGTTTATTATGGTCCTGATCGTATTAGAGACCCAGCCTTGCTTTCAAAACAAGATATTGTTTTGACCACATACAATATTTTAACTCATGACTATGGAGTAAGTATGCTGATACATAAGAGATTTTTAAAAGTTGATTTTTTGTTTATTCATTTATTTTGGTGCCAGGGATTGAACTCGGGACCTTGCACTTGCGAGGCAGGCAGCAGTACCACTGAGCTAAATCCCCGACCCAAAAGCTGATTTTTAAAAAAAGGTTGAATTTAAGAACTGTGCTTCAAGTTTCTTAAGTTTTCTAAAATGTTGACTTTTATATTCATCCTTTTTTATTTCTAAGTACTTAAGAATATAAAACATCTGCAGGATTTTTTTAAACATATTGCAAAAAATAGGTTGTATCTTTATACTAATTTGGCAATGTGTTCCACTTAGAACATTTTAGGTTAAAATTTTAAATTTGGATTGTAACTAGTATACATGCATATATGTGTGTATATATATACTTATTCACACACTTACAGCAGTATATAAATGAATATCTTTTTAATTTGAAAAATTAATGATTTGATCCATATTTAATGTTTGAAAAAAGACTTCTGTTTGAACTTAGGGCTTTAGCCACCCCCCCTTCTTCTTTGAGACAAGGTCTGTCTTAGTCACTAAGATGACCCAGTTGGATTGAATTTGTGATCTTCCTCCCTCACTTTTCTAGAGTTTTGGGATTATAGGTATATGCTGTCATGCAAGGATTGAAAATCAGCTTCTTTTGTAGCTACAATTAATGAGTTTCCTAATTCTTTTTAGAGTTTAATTGTTGTTTATAGTTTTAGCTGTTCAGTTAAAACTTCTTTAAAATACCTTTTAGTCACAACTTTAGTCTTTTGCTGAAAACATTGCCTTTTATATAAAAGAAAGCAAGGTTTTACATTGAAATGATTGTTTCAACTGACAATTTTTATGTCATAACTTTTATTCTGAGGTAGAATAATATGGTGTATTGTAGTGATTTAGCAGAAAGCTAAAGACTTCCTGTGTTTGAATGTAATCTCTGCTGCTTTCTAAATAACATATCTAACACCTTGTACTTCAGTGTTTTCAACTGTAAAATACAGGTAATAATACTCTAAGCTTGTGAATATTCAGTAACTTTATGTAGTGCTTAAAGCAGTACTGGGCACCTTGTGTTGATGTTAAAGAATAATATCATTAATCATATAATTGTATTAAGTGTAACTCTTTCCTGGGTTTTTAAAAACTTAATTTTATTAGTACATTCATTGTGGGAAATTGATACATATGTGTAACACATCTTATTTTTTTTTCATTCCCTCTGCTCCCCTCCCTCCCTGTTCCCTCCATCTCTTGGTCTCCTTCCCTTCTGTGAAAGATCTGTCTGCCTCTTTCCTATTATCTTTTATTTTGTCCTTTATTTATACTTTGAATTTCTCATGTAAGAGAAACCATGCAACAATATTTAAATGTGTGTCTGATTTATTTTACTTAGCATTATGATCTCAAAGTGCATCTATTTTCCTACAAGTGACTCAAGTTTGTCCTTCTTTTTAGTACTACATTGTGTATAAATATCACATTCTCTTTATTCATTTATCTGTAGATGGACATATAGGCTACTTCCAAGATTTTTTTTTTTTTTTTGGTACCAGGGATCAAACTTGGGTCCTTGCACTTGTGGGGCAGACGGTAGAACCACTGAGCTAAATCCCTAGCCCGCTACTTCCAAGATTTAGCTCTTATGAGTTGGGCTGCTATAAACATGGATGTCCATTTAACATTATAGTGTAATGTCTTTAACTCATTCAGGAAGATACCTAGAAGGGAAATAACTGGGTCAAGTGGAATTTCTGTTTTTAGTTTTTTGAGATACCTCTGTACTGATTTCCCTGGTGAGATACTAGTTTACATTCCCACCAACAGTGTAGAGGGTTCCCTTTTCCCTGCAGTCTCAGCAGGATTTATCAGTTGATTTCTTTTTTTTTTTTTTTGGTACCGGGGATCGAACTCGGGTCCTTGCGCTTGCGCGGCAGGCGCCGGAACCACTGAGCTAAATCCCTAGCCCCATCAGTTGATTTCTTGATGATAGCTATTCTTTCTGGAATAAGATGGAATCTCAGTGTTAATTTGCATTTTTGTAATACCCACAGATGTTGAACATTTTTTCATGTTTTTTTTTTAATTTTAGGGTTTTTTTGTTAGTACCTGTTTGCCATACATAAAGATCACATTCATCATGGGGAATTTGTACTTGTAAATAATAAGGTCTTAATTTTTTTTTCCCATTCTCCCCCCCCCTTCCTTTAACCCTTCTTCTCCTCCCCATTTAAAAAAGCTATTTTCCATTTTTCCTTTCAATTCTGTTTTTTAATCCTTTTTCCCTTCCTTCCCTCCTCCCTCCCTTGTTTTTCTTTCCATTTGAGTAAGCTCTTCCTACTTCCTAATATATATCCTCCATTTTGCTCCTTATTTACACTTTGAGTTTCTCACACAAGAGAAACAATATGATATTTAAACTTGTGTGTGATTTATTTCACTTAAGATTATGGACTTGAGATGCATCCATTTTAAAAGGTCTCAAGTTTATCTTTCTTTATGGCAGATTAGTACTCCATTGTGTATAAATACCACATTTTCTCCATTCATCTGTGATGAGCATATGGTCTGTTTCTAAGATATAGCCATTATAAATTTTGCTGCTATAAATATGGGTATGCATTTATCACTATGGCGTGATGACTTTAACTCTTTCAGGAAGATACCTAGAAGGGAAATAGCTGTGTCAAATGGAATTTGTAGTTTTAATGTTTTGAAGAATCTCCATACTGATTTCCATAGTGGTTGTACCCATTTACACTCCCAGAAACAATGGAGAAGAGTTCTTTTTTCCCCTACTGTCTTGTCAACATTTGTTGTTGGGTAGTTTCTTGTTGATAGCCGTACTTTCTGGAGTGAGCTGGAATCTCAATGTCGTTTCAATTTGCATTTCTTGAATGACCAGCAATGTTGAACATTTTTTATTATTTATTTGCTATTTGTACTTCTTTGTGTGAGAAGTGTGTATTTATTTCAGATGCCCATTTTTAATTTATAGTTTTAAAACAAAAAAAATTAGAAAAAATGTTATGAGCTCTTCACTGGTCTACATACAGTACTAATTAAGAGGTCTGTGAAAATTAACATTTTTTTTAAACATGGGAAGGCACTTTTCTTTTTGGGGGCTTCATTCAGAAAAAAATAGCACTGCACTGGTTTATTATATTCTATTTAGTCTCATTTAGGCTAGGTGAAAAACAGCTAGGAAACTGAAAGAACAAACACAAACAAAAACTGGCTTAAAAAGCAAAAAGGAAGAGAGCGTGGTCTCCTTGGGAGACTTTCAGCAGTGCCACAGCAGAGATAGAGACAGGCGGAGCTCCGAGTGGACAGCAGGGTCCAGCAGGACCTGATGGTCTCTCATTCCTGTGGAGCTCAGCACTAGAAATCACCACCGATATTTTATAAGACAGTGGGAAGCTGGACTTGGTATATGGCAGCAATCTCAGCAGTCAGAAGGCAGGGGGGGATCCCAAGCTTTAGCCTAGCCTGGGCAACCCAGCAAGAACCTGTGTCAAAAAATAAAAAAGGACTGGGGATGTTGCTCAGTTGTTGAGGACAGTGGAAATAAGTGAAGCCTCCTGTGGGCCCTCTCCCTTTGTCTTGAGTCCTCTTCAGTCCACAACACACACCCTGCCTCCAGTGCAAGTGAAACCCAGGCCGTGAAAGTCTTCATGTGAAGTGTGTGTGTGTGGGCATTGGGAACTTTGTCTTGGCTTTACAACTAGAGCCCAGCTATCATTTCTGCTTCTCTCCCTGGAACAGAGCCATCTCCTGGCAGTCCTCACTGGGTCTGACACCCTGATTAGTCAACTTGAAATTGCAGTCCTTCCCAGCTTTGATGTGCTAGTTCCCCCTGAGGACAAGGAAGGAAAGTAGCAAGGCTCTCCTGAGCCCATCTTAACCCATGTTCCTCTGGAGACGGTCTGTACAACAGCCTTTTGTGGAGCAACTGGGCAGCAGGTGCCCTTCTCAAATGCTCATCATTTGGGAAATTTTGAAGGCCTTGAGGAAAGACTGATTACAAGAACTCTACAGGAAAATTATCCCTGCACTGCAAAGATTTTAGGAGGGCTGGAGGGGCTCGGGTGTCCTCAAGATCCAGAGTACATGAACACATTTAATGACACTTGGTGCTGCCTGGGTGGGAGCTACTGCCAGATAAATGGGGAGGCAGCTAGGGAGGAACTGCAGAGAGTCTCTTGTTTGCTCTGAGTCAAACTTCAGAGATGAGGACAGGAAACACAGCAAGTTAGCTGTTCAGTTTTGAGGATGATATTGCTGCACAAGAACTTACTACAAAGATTTATGTGTTTCTGCCCTATAATCCTGAGAGGGTGAAACAGGAAGATCCCAAGTTGGAGGCCAGCCTGGGGTACAGAGCAAGATCCTGTCTTTAAAAACCAAAAAGATTTATGCACTTCAAAAGAAAAGAGAGTCACTTGAAAATCTTAACACTACTCTTGTTTTTGAGCATCTGGTACTATTAAGCAAAACATCTTTTTTTGATAATTAAACTCTTTTTCCCCTGTAGCATAAACAAATTGTGGAAGGTAATAAGGAAGCATTAATTGGATTAAGTAAAAGTAAGGATAGTTAGCTAATAAGGGATCAAGGATTTAAAAAATGGTCATTAATTTATTGACTTAATACTAAAGGGCAGATTCCTGCATTTTGTTAATGTTTCTGTAAGAGGCTCCATCATAAAGTGTAACTATAAAATTATTTTTAAATGTAAAATATGGAACACAAAATCAATTTTTAGCAAGCTCCAGGAAATTCACTTGTTAGAAATTACCTAAAATTTATAAACAAATCCTCCCTAACTTGTATTTTGTTTAAAGTAAAAACTTTATATCATGTAAATACATTTCAAGTGTGAAAAGTACACTATTACAATAACTCATTGTGAGTCCAAAATTCCTGTTTTATAAAAAAACTGTAAAGTTTAAAAAAGAAAAAAAAAGTAAAACCATTGGTGCCATCCGTTGTAGAAGTCCAACGTCATGTTAAAACATTGCTCAGCAAGTTGCAGTACAATGTGTCTAGAAGCAACATATAATTGAAAAAGAAACTTCTTGTGTTTTCACTATTGTACATTATTATCATCTTTAGTATTTTCTCTTCCCAAATCAAAATTCACATCCTGTATAATGTTCATCTTGAGTTAGCCATTCTGTTCAGTTGCCACTTTGTACTGCCAAAATCATCATCATCATCTTCATGTGTTCTTTTCAAACTGCCTGAAACCAATGGACAAATCTGGTTATTAGGATTAATGCAAAAGCATCTTTCTTTGACATAAGCAAGTGCAGCTCTATACTTCATTCCACATGCTTACATAATGTATGCAGTACCAAAGGCAGCAATGCTGGAGATCCCTGCATTTTCACAGACAAGAATTTTCCCTCCAGTTTGTAAGCTCCCATTAGTAAATTCTGCTGTCTTCTCAGTCAAGTGCTCTCTGCAACCGGGCCTTCTCGCAAACTAGCCTGCTGGCCAGGGACTGCAGCTTCTGCAGAAGGTGAAGATAGGGTCCAGGGTTGAGGGCTTCATTGCTACCACACACTTCAAGGACCCTGCCCCGCCGTTCCTTTGAATCTGTCAGCACTGCTCGTGTATTTATTTTATTGGCCATTTGTATTTTTTTTATGAGATGTGTCTGTTCACTTCAGTTGCTCATTTTTTGATTGTGTCTTTTATTTTGGTTTATCTAATTTGAGTTCTTCATTCTAGATTTTAATCTTCTGAGGAGTAGCTGGCAATTCTTTTTTTCTTTCTGTAGGTTGTCTAGTCACTGTTTCGGTTATTTCATTTGCTGTGCAGAAGCTTTTTAACTTGCTATAATCCCATTTGTTAATTCTTAGTATTATATCTTATGTAACTGGGGTTCTGTTCAAAAAGTCCTTGCCTTACACCTGGCTTCAGGACTTTTCCCTATTTCATCTTCCAGCAGGTTAATTGTTTCTCTTTTAACATTTAGATCGTTGGACCATTTTGACATTAGTTCAGAGCATGGTTAGAGATATGGGTTTCAGTTTAATCTTCTGCATGTAGATAGCCAGTTTTCCCAGCATCATATGTTAAAAAGGCTATCTTTCCTCTTGCATGCTTTCAGCCACTTTGTCAAAAGATCAGATTTTGGAATGTGCCTGGGGTTTCTGCATCCTCTAGTGTGTTTCATTGATATATGTGCATGCTTTTGTACCATGCTGCTTTTATCACTGTAGCTTTGTACTATAATTTGAAGTCTGGGATTGTGATGCCACCTGCTTTGCTCTTGTTGCCCAGTGCTGAGTATTTTAATTTATATGAATCATTTATTTCAGACTAAAGGTGATAGTCCACTGCATAGCATAAGGTGGCTAAGAGTGATCCTGGATGAAGGGCATGCCATACGAAATCCAAATGCCCAGCAGACAAAAGCTGTTCTTGATTTAGAAGCAGAAAGAAGATGGGTATTGACAGGTAGGTAATCATGATAGCATTAAACTTTGGTTTGCCTTTAACACTTTTTAAATTTGACACATAAATGCCACATATATTTATGAGGTACCATGTAATGTTTCAATACAAGTATACTTGTGTAATGTTCAAATCAGAGTAGGCATGTTTATCACCCAAGACAATTTTTCTTTCTGATGAAAACACAATCTTCTAGATTTTTGAAATGTTCAGTGCATTATCATTGTAGTCAACCTACTGTGCAATAGAACAGTAGAACATATTTCTCCTAATTAACTGTACCTTAGTACCAATTACTAATATATCTAATCTTTGCTTATCCTTTTCTCCCTCCACATTTCTCAGCTTCTAGTAGCCACCATTTTCCTCTTATTTTCTATGGGATCAACTTTTTATATTGCTTTCCATAGTTCTTGATGTCTATATTAATTTATATTCCCCACCAGTGGTGTATAAATGTTCTCTTGTACTCACATCCTGATAGCATTTATATTTTGTCTTTTTGATGTTAGCCATTCTTACTGGAATGAGGTGATACTTCATTGTGGTTTTGATGTACGTGTTCTTGATTATTAGTGATTGTTTTTGTTTTTTGCTATTGAGTTGTGTTCCCTATATATTCTGGATATTAACACCTTTGTCAGATGCTGATATATAGTTTGCAGAAATTTCTCCTTTTCTGTAGGTTGTCTCTTCACTCTGTTAATTGTTTTCTTTGTTATGCAAAGCTTTTTAGCTTGATGTAATCCCATTTGTCTACTTTTGCTTTTATTTTCTGTGCTTTGGGGGTCTGATCCAAAAATCTATTGCCCATTCCAGTGTCCTAAAGCATTTTACTTAATTTTTTATACTAGTTTTATTACTTTTAGGTCTTGCATTTAAGTCTCTAATCCATTTCAAGTTGATTTTTTTTTTTTCTTTGTACCGGGGATCAAACTCAGGACCTTGCACTTATGAGGCAGGCACAGTGTCACTGAGTTAAATCCCCAGCCCCTTGAGTTAATTTTTGTAAATGGTAAGACAAAGGAGTCTAGTTTCATTCTTGTGCATGGGGATATCCATTTTTCATGTGTTATTTGTTTTTGAAAAGATTGTCCTTTACTGTCCTTTACTTAATGTATCTTTCAGTGAATTTGTTGAAGATCCTTTGACTGTGGTATGTGGGTTCACTTATAATCGCTCTAATCTGTCTCATTACAGTGCTGTGTTATTTGCTGTAGGTTGTAATATATGTTGAAGTTAGGTAGTATAGTGCTTCCTTCTTTGTTGTTTTTACTCAACATTGGTTTGACTATACAGGGTCTTTTTTTTTGCTTCTATATGAATTTTAGGGTTATTTTTTCCAGTTTTGTAAAGAATGTCATTGGTATTTTGATAAGGATTGCATTAAATCTATAGATCAGTTTAGATAGTATGGACATTTTCATAATATTTTTCAAATGGAATGTTTTCCCACTTTTTTGTGCTCTCTTCAATTCCTTTTGTTATTGTTTCATAGTTCTCATTGAAGAGATTTTTCACTTTTGGTTCATTTTATTCCTGGGTTGTGTTTGTTTGTGGTAGGTATTGTAAATGAGATTGCTTGCTTGATGTCTTTTTCAGATTATAAGAGAGAATGTGCTATTGGCTTATAGAAATGCAACTAATTTTTTGGTGGTTGTGTTGTACCCTAATCTTTGAAGAATTTATTAGTTATAATTTTTATTGGAGGGCAGGGTTTTCTAAATATAAAATATCATCTGTAAACAGTGGTAATTTGACTTCCTCTTTTCCAATTTGGTTGCATTTTATTTTTTGTTTTTTCCTGATTGCTCTAGCTAGGATCCCTAGTATTGTGTTGCATAAAAATGGTGAAAGTGAATATCTTGTATTAAACTTTTAAAAAGTTAATTCTCTAAAATGTGTCATTAACTTGGCAGTGTGACTTTGGAAACTTAAAGTGAATATGTCTATTCCAAAATTAATCATAAACCATTTAATAAAATGTTTTGATTTGTGCCTCATAATTTCCCATGATATAACAAATTTTGGGGTTATATTTAATTTATGGAACAATCAACTGTACTTATTCTTGAATTTCAGGAAAGAGTAGAACTAATCCATCAATGAAACTTTTGATTTTTTTGTTGTTGTTTTTACCCATTTTGGAGCCCATGTGCTTCCCATGACACCTTTACTAGAATGTGGGAAAAAGAATATAAACTTAAATTAGTTCCACTTTCTTTCTTGTTACTGCTATTTATTTAAAAAACTAAGTAAGTAATGTACTTGGTAAAGAGAAAGTTGAATTTACTGGGTATGGCAAGTAGGAGCTAAAAGTTCGGGCAGAACTGTATTTGGAGATGTATATATGATTGGAAAAGGATTATTGGCACAGCTTGATAGCGGTATACCTGGTGCAGAGTATCCATTTTCAGCTCTTGTCTCTGATTAGGCAAGGTAAATAGTCTTATTAGATGCTGTGGTTCAAATAGTTATAACTGGAGCTGTGGGGCTGACTCAGATGTGCAGCATTTTCCTAGCAAGTGTGAATCCTTAGGTTTGATATCCAGCACCACCATCAAATAAAAAAAAAGAATCAGCAAAACCAAAGTTTAACAGTTTCCTATTTGTTTCTAGGTACTCCTATCCAGAATTCTTTAAAGGATTTGTGGTCTCTTCTTTCCTTTTTAAAACTTAAACCATTTCTTGATAGAGAATGGTGGCATAGAACAATACAGCGTCCCGTTACAATGGGAGATGAAGCAGGACTTAGGTAAGTAATTTCATGACGGCTCATTTATTAGCTCAATTAGTGGACTAGTTACTCTTCTGTTACCTATTTTTATTTAAACCTTGATTTTAGTCCCCTAAAAGTGAGCATGTTTCAGATACTTTGATTCTCAGAACCCAGCAACTCTTGCTTAGGAAGATGAAAGACTTCTAATTACAGTGGTACCTTGGTTCACGAACTTAATTCGTTTCAAGATTCTGGAAAAGATGGCGACATTTGTGTTTGTGAGGGAGAGCTATGGTAGTATTTGTCACCCGATGCAGAGTTTACAAGAAAAAACAAAATTTTGCAAAACACTTCTGTTTACAAACCAAATTGTTTGCAAACAAAAGCACTGGGAACAAAGGTACCACTGTATCAGTAACTGCCCTTCCTTATTATGTAGAGCCAAATTGAAAGGAAAGGCTTACCTTTATGGTCTTTGCTTGTTGCTGTTATCCCCAAAACCATCATTAACAAATTTAGCAGTGATAGGAAAAGCTATATCTTTTGAAGAAGAACATTTAATGTGTATTGGCTAAGCTCCTATATGTCTTTACATAGTAGTGATTAAATGATGTACAATAAAGTTCTGTGGGAGTTTTCATATGGTTATTTTTTGTGGACACAGATGAGTTGAGAACATAAATGAAAACTCAGTCTGGTGGTAGCCATTTTATCATGTGCTCTGCTAAGATGGTTCAGGATTTTTGTGTAGACCAATGGTTTTTAAACACAAGATTTGAGAGCTATTAGCAGGTTATAAAATCATTATAAAGGTAGTAGTCAGCATTAAAACAGAAAAAAGGACTAGTGCAGATAAAAAAATTTCAGAGTGTGTCATACATATTGTTTTGGGAAATGTTTTTGTGTATGTTCACTGTGTGGAGTAAAATGTGTTTCTTACTGTGAGTCACAGTGAAAAAATATTCAAAAGCCTCTATTCTATTTGGCAAAGCTATCCACACAATTTCTTTGAACTATTTGAACTCCAAGTTAAGAAACTGTATTTCACTGTTAGGGAAAACATTTCCTTAAGGAACTAATATGCCCTCTTTTTCTGACGTTGAGAGGGAAATGTAAAAATTATGGTACTGAGAAGGCATTTCTCAGTCTTCTGAATTCTCATGTTTTATCTGAGGGCCACTCATTGCTTTTTAAAAATTTGATTTATATGTTTTATTTTCATATTATAGAAGATAGGATTTTTTTTAACTTAAAAAGAGAAAAGGTATTTCTTTATATTTTTAGAATATTTAATAAAGTGCTTTGTACTTAATTGGTGCTTGGTTAGAATTTGAGTGTTGACTGTTGAGTATTATAGTTGTCAAGACAGTGGAGAAATTAAAGGTTCATAACTAGAGTAAAAACTGAGAGAAGAGCATAAGAAAAAGACAAGATACAGGAAGATTAAACAATGATGATAGGTATGGAATTGAAGGGAAATTTCAGTGCACTTGCTCCCTACAATTTTCTTTCTTTTTTTTTTTTCTTAAATTCTTTTCTTTTCTTTTTATTTTTTTTTCTTTTATTTTTATTTTCATTTTAGGTATACAAAACATTTACATTTCTCATTGGGAACTTGTACCTTTACATGATGCATCTTGGTTGCCTACAGCAATTTTCTGTTTGTAGAATATTTCTAATTATCAGATTGGATAAAGGCCTAAATAAGGAATTTTTAAAGAAAACCTTTAAGGTTATAAAATAATAATAAATTAAAATATACTTTTTGTTTCTATTTGATCATCTTATATAAAAATAAAAAATTAATTGCTTTATTTTTATTAGGCGCTTACAGTCCCTAATTAAAAATATCACACTTAGACGAACAAAGACAAGTAAAATTAAAGGAAAACCTGTTTTGGAGTTACCAGAACGTAAAGTATTCATTCAGCACATTACACTTTCAGATGAAGAGAGAAAGATTTATCAGTCTGTGAAAAATGAAGGCAAAGCTACTATTGGAAGGTATGGAGAAAGGAAACCATGTTATAAGTCTTTGTTTTATTTCTTTGTTTCCATTAACTGAATGGCATTGTTTTAGACTTGTTATTAGCAATGAAGTCTCATATATTTATAAAATTTTAACAAATTAATAATTGAAGCAAGTGAAATAATAGTATAATTCACCAGGTAAGTAATTCCTTAAGTCTAGAAAAAATAAAAAGTTAGCATAAAATAGTCAATTCTGAATTGTAGTCGTGAGACCTTGCTTGATTCTATTTCTGACTTTGTGTCACGGGAGTAGAAAAAAAACATTTTGAAGAATGTATACATACGTGTGTGTGTGTGTGTGAAAGACCTAGTAAGATTTGCATCTTTGAGGGGAGTGTGTATGAGTCACAAATAAGATAACAATAAGCTACTGTAGATTTATCCAAGAGAAAGTGTGAAGAAAGTAAAGAATAAAGTTACAGAATCAGAAGAAAGCGAGAATGGTCAGTCAGTAGTATCACATAAGTGCAGAGACTCAGAGAAGGCTGTTTAATTTTGTGATTCAAGAGTCGGCATAAACTCTTAGAATGAGGTAGGTAGCTAAATTGTCAGAGTGGACTGTGACTGTAGAGATGGATCATTTTTTTCACTAAGTTCAGCTTTAAAAAGAACAAAGTGTGGTCATTGAATGGGATTGATATTTGAGTAATCATGCTTTTAAGAGGAAGAGAGTGAAGAGTCTACAGGTACAGAAGAGAATAAAGCTAATTGGTAAAAAAAAATGAAGCCCAATATGGAAGGAAATAGTGTTAAAAGATGACATAGTCAATGAGTTGAGGCCAGGGTATCTACAGAGTAGGAAATTGAGAAAGATAGACTGTATTTGCAACTGCCTTAAAAGATGAGTTTTAGAGTGGCAGAATGTTCTTTGTAGTATTGGATACATGTAGAGAAGCTAGTCAACATGACTTTCCAACAAAATGTGGGAATCTAAGAATAGAAATTGACTGAAGAAAGGAATTAGTAATTGGTAGAAGGTGAATAATTTTATATAAGCAAAAGCACATTGTTGTGATTGTCCATAGGGACCAGTATGAATAGGAGACAAGTGAAGGCAGGATAAGTCTGTAAAAATAGGTGAATCTTCAGAACATGGAAACTTCAATGAGGCAAGTACAAAGGAGATTTGGTAAGAACTCAAAAGGTCAGGAAGGAAAAGATGTTTCAAGCTAGAGGTTTTAAAATGCCAAATTTTCACAGTGGTAATTGCATTTTTTTTATATTCTTTTAACTAAAATTTATTAAATGCCTCCTGTGTACCTGGCACATATACATATTGTGATACATCAGGATGAAACAAATCGCTGTTATCAAGGCATTTATATTTTCATGGGAAGAAACAGACAACTGACAAACATTAAGATTTATGCAGAAAAAAGTGGAGAAAGGGGATAAGTGAATGCTGATGGTATTTTAATAAGGCATTCAGGAAAGACCTCAATGAGAAGGTGATGTGAACAGAGATCTAAAGGAGATTGAGGTTGGGGGTATTTTAGACAGAAGGAATACCAAGTAAAAAAAACTTGAGTTTGGAGCATTTGTGGTCAACTTGATGGAAAAAGACTTAAATGTAGCTGGATAATATGAGCAAGAGGGAAAATAGTCATGGTATTAGAGAGTTGTCAGATTGTATGGATGAGGATTGTATAACGCATTGTGGCATATTTCAGGGACATTAGCTTTTACTTTTCATGAGAAATATCTTGAGGAGTTTGGAGCCAGGAGAGTGATTGATAATCTGAGATAATTTGGTTTACAGTTTGAAAGGATCAGTCTATCTGCTTATTCACATTCAGACTTTTGAAGAAGGTCCTAGATAGGAAAATCTGTGGCAAGAATTACAGTAATAGATGATACTAGTTTTTACCACCGCAGTTGTGATGAAGAGGGTGAGAAATGGTTGGATTCTATTATACGTTGAAAATAGAACCAACAGAACATGTTGATATGATATTGGGTGAGAGGGAGAAGAATCATAACTCTAGGGCCTTTCACCTACATGACTAGAAGGATGGAATTGCCATTTGCAGAGTCAGGGTTTTAGGAGGAGCAGAGTTTTTTTCAAGTAAGAGCAGAAGTTCAGTTTTGGACATATCAATCATTAGATGTTTATGAAATTTCCAGTTGGCAATGCCAGATAGTTGGATGTAGAGTAGAGTTCATGGGAGAGTTCTCAGTTTGATATGCAAGTTTGAAAATCACGTGTGTGTAGATGGTAATTGAAACCAAGAGACTGAATGTGGTCATCTAAGGGACCGAATAAAGTTAGAAAAGAGGCCTGGCAAGACACAAGTAGCTGGTGAAGTAGGAAGAAACTTCTGTTCTAATATTTGTTTGTAGTAGATCTTCTGAAGAGATCTCTTAAACTAAAATACTGAGAATCGATAAGATGCAGCCATTCCAGGGAATAGTAGTTACAGTTGAGGAGGTTATTCTATTTGAAACAATGTTCTCAGAGAATATTATTTTTAAAATATTCTTTTTAATATCCCATACATTTATTGAGCACTTAATAGCTGTTATACATGTAATCTAAGTGTTTTAAGTGTATTAATTCACAACAGCTTTATTAAATTAGTATAATTATTAGCCACATTTTATAGATTAGGAAGCTGAGGCACAGAACTGTTAGGTGACTTGTGCAATGTCACACAGCTAGTGAGTGACCTAACTGGTATTTCCAGCAGTTTGATTCTAGATCTTGTAAGTTTAACATTTATATTATGTTGCCCATTCCTTGCATTCTTGAGTATTCAGAAATGTTGTGTTGTCATAATAACATTGTAACTAATAATAGCAGCAGGGTCATATGTAGCACTTAACATAGTCCTGGCACTGTTCTGAATGATTTGAATGCATTAGCTTTTTAAAAATACAATAGTCCTATGAGGTATTTACTTTAATTGTGTAACTATTACAACTGAGGAAGCTCAAGGCCCAATGGGTTAAGCAACCTTTCTGAGGCTGTATAGTTAAATTGGCAGAATTAAGGTTTGAATTTGCAAGTCTAGCTCTCTTGACCATTGTATTTTATTTCTTCTATCACTTTAATACTTAAATATCAAATTGCCCTTGTATATAATTGGATCACCCATTCTTTCATTTAGAATTTGTGCTGTCATTGTATCATTGTATTTTGTGTTGAATATTTCTGTGGAGAATCCTGATTTTTGTTCTTGTTTATTTCTGTAAAGTCCAGCAATATAACCAGGATTTCTCTATTGATGTTTCCTGAAACGTGTCTTTGGATTCAAGGCTTTTTTTCTTTTCTTTTCCTGGAAACCTTTCTTTAAATACTGTTTTCTTGTTCTATTTTATTTCTGTTAGATGGCTTTTGTTTGTTCTTCCTGGGTATCATCTTATTTCTAATTCCTTCCATCTTTCTAATTTTGGTTTTCTCAGTCCTAGTTCCCTCATCTTTCCTATGCTTTTATCAGTGACTAGCCTTTTTAAATTCTGATTTCAGTGTGGATTTCCCTTCTCTGATGGTTCACTTTTCTTTTTCACACTCTCAAGCTTTATGAGCTTATATTTCATCTCTATGTTGACTTGTACTATATCTTTTCAAAGCTCTTTGTTTTTTGCCTTAAGGTGTTATTTTTTAGTAGAAATTGTTTTATTGAGTGATGGTAAATCATGGCAATAGCCTTGGTCATCATTTTATTTGTTCTGTGGCAACATTTTTCGCTATTTTGTGCTATGCTAATTATTTATATATATTATAAATCACTGTTTGAATATCTTGAATTCTTTTTGGATTATCTGTTTGATTGTCAAGTCATACAAAAGTCATAGCATGTCCCAGAACAGCAGAAAAAAATCCCAATTTACATTTGAGTTTCTGTAAATTTTATTAGTGCTCATGTAACAGAGATCAGAAGCATTACAGTTGTTTTCAATGTAGATGCTGTGCCTGTAGCCTTTTTTCTAAAAACACAAAGCACAATGCATATATATGTTTCTTCATTCAGCTAGCCTTTTGTACTTTTTGGTGTAAAATTGTCTGGGGCAGCTCAAGTGATCAAGTAGACTCTCTTGTTTCTGTTCTTGCACATGAGAGATGTCGATTTTTCCTTCAGGGTATGTCATGTATTTTGAAGAATTGTGGTTTGGTAGGGCTGTTTGAGATCTACAGTTATCTCTGTCAAGCTTTTCTATCAGACTCTTACTGCACTTTGCAGCAGTTTCTTATTATTGTATCTTATTGTTATAAATTTCTTCCTTAGGAGCTTGCTTTTCTGTTTTTCAGAGAAATTCATTTCCAGAGAAATTAGGTAGAAGATTTCATAATATTTGACATTTTTATCTCTAGATATTTTTTTTCCAGAGAAGTGAAAGGAATTTTAATTTGTATTTCCTTGCTTTCTTATTAATTTGACAACATTTTCCCCTGTGTACTTATTGAGTATTCATTTATATTCTTTTGTAAAGTGTCTCTTCAGGTCTTTTGTCCACAATTTAATTCTGCCATTTTTCTTTTTTATTGATATATAATAATTCTTTATGTATTTTAAATACTAGTGTTTTGTCACATAGCAAATATTTTCTGCTATTATACCACTTGTTACTTCACTTTTAGAGGTGTCTTTTAAAAATTATAGTTATTTTTTATAAGTACACGTTTGTAATACACAATAACCACATTCCTCCTGGGAGTTGGTACATGTATATAATACATCTTAATTCTTTTTTTATTGTTAAATCCCTTTTGCCTTTCCTCCCTTTCCACTCCCTTCATTGCTTGGTCCCCTTCCCATATGCAAAAGATCTATCTCACTATTTTCCATTGTCTATCTTTTATTTTGCTCTTTATTTTGGGCTCTCCTATAAGAGAAACAATGTGATATTGAAGCTTCTGTGTCTGACTTATTTCACTTAAAATTATGGTCTCAAGGTGCATTCATTTTCCTACAAATGATTCAAGTTTATCCTTCCTGTGGCAGAGTAGTACTCCATTGTGTATAAACACCACA